TATATATATATATATATATATATATATATATATTTTAAATTTTTATGATATCTTCAAATTTATATTTTATTCAAAAATAAAATCATTATTTAAAAACACATAAAATCGTATTATAACATCGACATAAACAAAGAATAAAATAGAACATTAAATCGAAATGTATCTCGCTGTATTGTGCGAGTACCCTTCTAATTTTATATAATATACATATATATATATATATATATATATATATATATATATTAGTTGTGTATCCACGCAATGCGGCGGGAGCCATGAATTTTAACGATTTTGAAGTTTCACTGGTTTTATAAGATAAGATTTAACATGATATAGGTTACACTTGGTCTTTACATATTAATACAATTTGAATAAATAACAGTTATGGTTCCAATTACACTCGATGAAAAAAATTGTATGACAGTTTAAAATTCAATATATTTAAAATCCAACATATTTAAACAACTCCACAAATGTGTTTGATTTACACAAGAGCAAAGAATCAAGAAACTTGAGTTTTAAGATAAACACTCAAAATCAATAAAGAAAACTACAAATCTGACATATCATAAGCCATGAAAAGACAAAAAAAATATGGGTTTTAGAATGAAATTTCAACTGCTTACCCTCTTTATTGTCCAGAAACTCAGATTAAGGTTGAATTAATACATGTATATATATATTTCAAAAAAAATTCAAGAACATATTATACAGTGCAATTTGGACAGTCTAACCTCAAAATATATAGTATATATATAAATAAATAACTATAAAAGTATAAATCGTAAATATTAAAAATATTTTTTTCACAGTATATATAATATATAATAATATAATTAAGTCAAAAACKATYCAATAYTVRACTCATTTCGAAGGTATTAACGAGACGATTATAATAGTGTAACTTATTAAAATAAAAATACATTTTTTAAACATGTTTTAATTGATATACGATTATGTATATTAATTTGATAAAAGTTTAAAATAAAACATTTAAAAGTAAATGACGTAAAGTAAATTAATTAACTAATTATAGGGGTATAAAGTGTAAATTTAAAATTATAATTTAAAAAAAATCGATTGTGAGAGTGTGAGTATATGTGAGAGGGTAAGTGTATGTGAGGAGATGATGAGGTGAAAAGGTGATATAAAAGGTATGTTGGTCATTTAGTATTTTAAGACTTTAAGACTTTTGTTAAATTTGTTTTATAAGATAGTATAGATAGAAACGATCAAATGAAAACCGCCCCCATTTATGTAAACCAATCTCATCCATTCATTTTCTTGATCAATGGTCAAGATTAGTTTAGTTTATTTTAGGAAATTAAAAAATATATATATTAAAAATTTATTTTTATAACAACAATAAAGGCAAAATGGTAAACATTTAAATACAATGAATTCATAGTATTTTTTAATCAAGACAACCATCCTATATATCATATTATTAATGAAACAAATTTATTTTATAAAGTAATATATTATTTTTACATTAACATTTTTTAAAATAACACCCATCAATAAAATATATCAAAAATATAAATAAAACACACCATAATCAATTCTATACAATGAATCGTTTGATTATAAATAAATAAAAAAATGAATTAGATTATATGAACGAAATGGTTTCACAATTTCATCAACAAACTAATCAACGTAATTAATTTTATAATTTATTTTCTAAAAAATTAGGTTTTGACCGGGGATGAGGATCGAGGTTTGACCAGAAAATAAACCAGGTACGGGATATTAATCCCCGTACCTGCCAAGGACCGAGATCGGGGGCCGTTCATAGAAACCGGGGTCAGGGCTGGGATTAGAAAAACTTGCCCTATCCCCACCCCGTTGCCATACCTACTGAAAACAAATATTTAGTGACCCTCAAACCTTGGAGGGGGAGCTTTAAATTAAGATCTAAATTAAGGTCCAAGACTTATCGTCACTGAGTAGGGATGATATAAACCCTGCATCTGATTCGAATCCGGTTTGACAGGGAATCCTCGAGTTGACAGGGCATGGAGATACCTTTCATCCCCTACTGTCAAATTAGTACAATTTGCACTAATCGAGCCATTTTTGTGTTTCTTCATATATTAATATCATATTTCATAATTATCCCATTTACTTAATTATCACATTTCTTAATTATATCATTAGATCCTCCTCCATCCTCAACAGGCACACGGTCAGAGCCCCGGGCTCCTCAAACTAATCATACATGTCCAAAGGTTTTTATGTACACTTAACGATTGCTCAAAAATCATCCTAGTATTAGCTATAAATTACGGAGCTTAATTTCATCGGAAGGGTATACCGTATACGCCATCCTTTGGAGCACCTATCTCTCTAAATGAAAATAGGATGCTTACCTTTTTTACAAGCAAAAATAGATGTTTTTTTACACATCTAAATTAAGTGAATACATGTTTCCGCCTTCACTTTCTCTACGTATTGCAACTCGGCCAACATATGAGCGTACTCTGCTTTGGCTGCTTCAAGTTCCATTTTAAGTTGTGTCACCTGCCAGCAAATTGACAATGAAACGAAACGTCCGAATAAAATATCAAACCCTAAGAGGTCGACATACCGATTGAACCCTGGGGATCTTGTGTATAATGCATGGGGTTTCACTTTTGGTTTTTGCTAGGAGATACCAATTCATGACCTAAGAGTCCGTTTGGTTTGCGGGATTTGGAATTGGATTTCATTCCAATCCTGCGTTTGGTTTAAATGAACGTTCGGTATTGAAATCCCACAAACATTGTAATTATAAATCCCATGGGGTAGTTGGTATTTTACGAGATTTCATAGAATTTATTTGTAATAATTTTTTAAAATATCTTAATAACATTCGTTTTTTTCGTAATAATCAATTAATAAAACACACCCGTCTACCTCGCAAGCTCCCTACCTCCCACCTAAGCTAGTTAAACCGAAGGTGCCAAATACCACACACCCGTCTAAGAGTTAGATGATCAATTTAGACGGGTTAATATCTTCATATTGCCATGGTAACATGACAAAGCGAACATGTGATTGTGGATCCTTGATCGAAAAACCAAGAATGGGCCCGTAAAATGAAGAAATGAAAAATGGAGGTAAAAGGCGCAAAATGATAAGCATCTATATACAAATAAAGAGCTAGAAGTACCTTGAGCTTAAGTTGTGCTTGTGCCTTCTGAAGTTCGTTGCATCTGAAACAAAGAACAGAGACTATTTAAACAAAAACGCAGTTACAATATCGTGTAGGAAACTAGGAATCACGACCACATGGCGATCAAGGGTGAATTTGAGCTTTGTCTTGCATTGATTCTTTATTTGCCATCAGGAAACTCAAAGCATCTCGCAAGTCACCAAGGTTCTTGAAAAATAAAAAGTAAAGGAAAAAAGGAAATCGGACGGGAAACTGCAGGATACATAAAGAATACTCACTGGGACCGAAGCCTTCTATTCTCTTGCATCACGTAGATCGCCTCTTGGGTGTTGGTCAAACCGGGCTACAAACAAATATCAAATATGGAGTAAAACCCTCTTAACAAAAGTTCAATCTTGACTGTGCTCATATAACGTAGAACCAATCGATTAAAAAAAGCTGTATTACCAGATTAGATCCTTTTTTTGAATCAACTTCCGTCCGAAAATCTGATTTGAAAGTTGTAGGTTGATCGCTTGATTTCCTCTTCAAGTTTGACACTTCTAAAAACAGGTACAAGGCACAATAAGCAGAGATGGCAGAAAAGAGAGAGATCATAAAAAACGAAACAATTTAAATAAATAAATAAAACTCGTGCTTGGCTTTTTGATGCAAACAAACCATAGTTTTTACGCTACACTTTGCAAAAAACAAACATTTTCCGTAATTCGTCTGAAAATCATTTATTCTTGCAAATTATAGTGGGTCTTTGGGAAATTTACACAAATAACCAAAGCTGATTGGTGGTTTCACTTTTTAGCCATTTTTTTACCCAAATTCACTTCTTAGCCAATTTTTACGCAGAAGGTTTACGCATATGTGTAAGGATTGGTTTTCGGCAATACCTTACGCATGATTCAGAAACCTTACGCATATGCTTAAGGATTCTCTTTTTTCTTTTTGCTGAAAACCAATCCTTATGCATATGCGTAAGCCTTCTGCGTAAGGATTGGCTAAAAAGTAAATTTGAGTCAGAAAATGGCTAAAAGTGAAACCCTATTTGCTGATTGGCTATTTCTGTCTATTTCCCGGGTTTTTGGCATTTTCACAAGAATAAAAGTTGGTAACAGAAGTTCAATTACGATGGTTCAAAAAGTTGATCACTATTTGTTTTATTCATTGTCACATTTCTTACCTTCTTGGAAACCTCTAGGGAAGCTTGCTTCTACTGGTTTTGCAAAGGGATTTGAGCCAAGTGCGGCCCTGCTGTTTATGGTAATTATTTTGGGCATGTTTCTAGTTGAACCAACAGGAGCGCTTTTCCTCGAAAGAGCAGGTGGTTCTGTACCATGATGATGAATAAAATTAGGATAGCCTGGGGCGGCTGATGGAGGACGACCTTTTTTTTGAAATTGATAGCCAATCAATCCACAATGGCAATCCCTGCAGTATAGGGCAAAAAGAACATATTCACTTACCATCGAGAAAATCTGTTGGAGGAATTATGTTATTTTGGCACCAATAGGTCATTGGCCCAGTAGCATCCGGGTCACAGGTAAATCCTAGCCTCCCTGGAGGTCAAGGGTTCAAACCACACCGAAGGTGAGGAAATGTGCATGAGTATTTTCCATATATAAGTATTAGAGGGAGATTCAGGGGAAAACCCCCAAAAAGTGAAAAACTGAGGAACACCTGGTAACCATTCATCTAAACATATGCACATGTGCATACAAGTAATTGAAGTTGTTTCTTGGTTTTTATGGTTGCTTACAAATTACTTGTACATGTGCATACCGTTCAGATGAATAGTTACCAAGGTATTCCTCAGTTTTTCATTTTTTTTGCGATTTTCCCCTGAACCTGACCCATAAATATTATATACTTCTCACTGATGTTACTCTGGCATATACAAAGAATTGCTTACCAATACTCCCATGTCATTTCTTTCAAGCGCTGAACAAGTTTTTGGAAAAGAGAAGTTTTCTCAAAATCTTGTTTATCGTGAGTAGGCTCGATAAAATTTGCTTCAAGAACACCTACACAGAGTCATGGACATCGTTAGACACCAACTCATTTTCCTTGGGATTGGGAACCCAAAGGCATCTAAATTCTTACCAACTACGCCTCTCCCTCTATTAGCAGAAAAGCTAACCACGGGACAAAATGGCTGATAAAAAGAGCACAACATCGTCAATTATGTGCCATAGATCAGAAAAAGTGACTGTGGGACCTAAAGAATACTCCCTCCGTCCCAAAATATATGTCCACAATGAAAAAGGTACGTAGTTTTAGAAATGTGTAACTATGACACTTTTTAATTAATTAAATGACAATTTTACCCTTAATAATAGAGGGAGTAATGAATTTCTCCATCTTATACTTAAGGGTAGAATTGGAAAGTAGGGACTTACTTATGAAAGTAGACACTTATCTTGGGACAAATTAAAAATAGAAATGGGTATTTATTTCGGGACGGAGGGAGTAAAGTTATGGAAGAGAAGTGATTACCAGTATCAGACGATTTTTGTGGTAAACATTAAATCCATGGATATTGATGTTTGGAGCTTCCTTGATAAACCCTATTGTTGTAAGCACCGAACCCTGAATTCAAATTGAAACATGAGGTCAATGCATTCGTTCCAACCTCAAAAATCAGCATCCATTCCATGTAAAAGTATAACAGTATTCAAGTATTCATTAACTTACTTCAACCTGAGTAGACGCTATGTGAGGTTTATACACGATAAATTCTGTGTACTTCAAGTCTGTAGCGACATTATGATAGAGGATGACTTTTCCACGCAACATCATCGCGAAAGTTTCAGGTAACTTTAAGTACAAGATGGATAAGTATGCCTGAAACACAATAACATGTAGCTATTTTTTAGAAGAATGTTTTATTCATAAAGAAAGATGATACATATACAAATCAAGTTGTAGCACATAAGCGTACACGTAGAGAATAACGGAGTCGGTTGGCGATGTGACTTCCTCCTTTACGAGAACCATCTTTCATTTCGCCATGTGCATCCCGAGTAATACGAATATCCTGAAGCAAATTGTGCAATTAGAAATCTTATCATGAAATACTCACCCATGTATTAAGAAGAAAATAATATTTGAGGCATCCACAAAAAGAAAGTCTGTTTTAAGCAAGCAGCATCTACACACAGAAACCCCTTGCAGGTCCAAACCTTTTATCATTTAAGAGACCTCAATACATACATATATATACATATACAGGGTCAGGGTCTGGTTCAGGGGAAAACCGCAAAAAAAGAAAAAATGAGGAACACCCTGGTAACCATTCATCTGTACGGTATTTGCATGTGCATGCAAGTAATTTGTCCGGTATGCACATGTGTATAGAAACCAAAAAACAACTTCAATTACTTAAATGCACATGTGTATATTGTATTACCAGGATGTTCCTCAGTTTTTCGTTTTCTTTTTTTTGGGGGGGGGGGGGGGGTTCCCTGAACCTCCCTCTAAATACATATATATATATATATATACATGTGTGTATGGTAAAACAGTTTTTGAAGCATCCCTCGTGAATCACAATGAAGAGTGCTCATGGAAGACATATTCCACACGCAAGTCTTCCTTAGGTCCATCTAGCAAGCCCTGCATGTGCACAGGGGCCTCTTCCATAAGTACTGTTCATTGTGACAAAGGCCATGAATATTACCATCCATAACAAGAGAAAAAAGAAAAACGGCAGCCACTTAAGTTGTGACATTTTTTTATGAATGCAAGTGTATAGATAAAAAGAATATGAAATTCTAAATGTATTAATTGTGGTGCTTAATGATGTTCCAAATTTTAATCATCCCGGATGAATCAGCATATCTACGATTTTCTGCCATTTAGTCTTATATGTTTTTCTCGTCCATATGGTTGTGTCACCTTATTCACACACAACATATAACCTTATTCTCCATACATATGCAGGAAACAAAGGAGGAACCAGTCAAAACCTCAGGATCAGACTCAAAATCAAGCTCCATATTCCTGTCTTCATCAAGCCATAGATTGTAAGCGATAACTTTTGTGCCATGAGGCCCAACATCTTCGAACTACACATCATAGAAACCTCATTATGTTCCAACAAGATAATAATACCCCTCAGGTGTAAAAAAAATGATGCTTTATATTTTGAATCGAGACCTAGTACTTCCTAAATAGAAGTCTGATATGAGCTATATTAGGAATTTAAATACATTATTCCACTTAAGTTGTTTGTTATAAAATTTGATTTACTTGCCAAACTTTAGTTGTTTTTGAAGTTGAAAACTAAACCTCTTGGCATCAAACGTATCTCACAGTTGAAACATAGGAAGAATAGAACTTCTGTTTTCATGTTGCTATAATGGAAAAATCCTTGAAAGCTTTTAACATTCTAATGCAGCAGAGGTCAGGTATTGATTACAGAATGAAAAGAAATTTCTGTGGTACTAACATAACGGGTGAATAGGTGACGCTAAAGCCTAGTTCCAAGCAAGGTTTTAAAAAGTGAAATCGGGTCTCGAGGCTTTTCCCTCAATGAGACGAGGGTAAGCCTCAAGGTGGTCCGAGGCGTAAGCTCCGAGGCAAATATATACATATATATATACTAAATATACAAAGTGGGAGAATGGAGAAGAAATAATATATATATATATATATACATACATACATACATCTACCATATACTCTTCAAATTGGAAATTGAAGAAGTGGGAAATAAAATATATACACGTAATGCTCTTCACATTGGGAGACTAGCAAAGACGTTGGAATTGACAAATGAAAACTAGGAGAAGACGAACAAGAAATGGGTTTATTTTATAAAAAGTAAAATCGGTAAGTCAATTTTAAACACTAATTTCTAACACCCGCCTCAGTCTCACCTCACCGCCTTAGGCACCTCAAGGCTAGCTTCAGTGGCTCAAGGCATACAGCACAACTAACCCATGAGAGGCGCCACCTCAGACTCGATTTTCCAGCACCTTGCCTCAAGGCACGCCTCAATGCATACACCTCAAACGCTTTTTAAAACCATGATTCCAAGTAAGTTTATGAACAGACAAGCAAATTATGAGGAAAGGCCATAAGGCGCGATTTATGTCACAAATGTGTAAATATGGCCAGAAAGGTTGTATGATTCACTGCTAGATCATATCGAATGGTACAAGAAATGCTAACAGATTGAGAAAGATGATTGATGCAAAGACACCAGATCCAAGAAGGGCTAGGGCTAGACTTACTTGCTTCAGTAATTCCTCTTCTGTTGAATATGGAGACCATTGCAACATCAGAGACAGATTTAAGTTAGAAGTCTCATTACTTTTTGAATGTACAGAATCAAACGAGCCTGTAACGGTGTTGAACTCATAGTGGACCTGCAGTTTCCAATAGGACTTAAATTCAATCATAGGTAGGAGGTACAAATACAGGGGAAATTGACCAAAATAGCTTATTTCCCCAACCAACTTCACTTTTTAGCCACTTTTTCAATTGAATTCCCATTTTAGCCAGAGTTTACTCAAATCTCTTGCGCATTTGCATAAACTCGATATTCAGATTGAAAAAGAAAAAGGAAAAAGATTTATTTGCATAAAGATTCAGATTTTCCAGTAAAGGATTCAAATTTTTGCACAAGGAATCAAACTTTTACGTAAGGATTCAAATTTTTGCGTAAAGAATCCTTACGAATTCTTTTTCTTTTTTTCCAGAAACAAGTCTTTACGCAAATGCTTTGGGAAGAGGCTTTGAAAAGTGCCTGAAAAGTGAATTTGGTTGATGAGATTGGCTATTTCAGTCAATTTCCCCAAATAAAGTCAGGTTTTTACGACGTACATAGAAGACATCATAAGACCTCTTCACAGTCTAAGTTCTATCATGCCTCCATGTGATCATAAACTAAATAGAATCTAGTCCGTATAGACGCATAATTTCTGAATTTTAATATGAGATAACTCTTAACCACATTGCAGAAAGGACGTCTCTTGAATGAAATCAAGTGATTAGATGAAACATGGCGGTGCTATGCCTGTAACAATCCTAGCCACCATAGGGAGAAAATTTCAAGAACTGAAAACCTTACCATCGGAACTACTACTCTGTTATAGCCCATTCGAGTCAAAAATGTATATGATAGTAGGCCAATGCTTTGGGTCATCGTCCTGTTCATAAGAACAAAGGAGAAGATGAAAGCTCAGAAAACAAGATGAGAGGATCCAAGTGACTGAGTTCATGAAGGCTACTTCCAATCAGAACATGTGCCCGATTTAAGTACTTCCGGAGAATTATTATATGATGTAATGACGAAGATAAGAAAGTAGCAAAATAGATTTGTTATAGACAGCAGATAAGAAGTCTCGAAGTTAAAACTCAAACTGCACCCATGACACTATAATGATGCAAAAATGTGTATAAAACTCATTGATGTTGCAACTATTGTTGCTGATGCAAAACCATAAAACATGATATGGAAACAAGCTTCATATGCATACCCCACAAGTGACTCGAAATGTACCCATGAAACTTTATTGCACAGAACAGCAAAATGTTTAAATTAGAGGGGGTGATTTCCAACCAATATTTCTAAATATGGATCTATTTGGGTTGCATCCTTATCTTTAAATAGTCTAATGGGTAAAACAAAAGAATTAGCTAGAAAGGGAACAAGTCAAACGATTTAAGAGATGCACAAGTGCTTGCAACATCCTAAATCACTTTATTGAAAAAGAATGGATCATTATCTTAATAATACTTTTTGCAATCAAATTTAATTTATTGCATATTTATAAATGCAAAAAAAGCGTTGGCAGGTTAACCCACCCTAAAAGTTTGCTGCAGTCAGGCGGTCACCCGATCTGCCCAACCTATTTTGCACCTCTAAATTTTTAACAATCACTGAGATGATGACAACTTGAATAATAAAACCAGATTTAAAATCAAACCTGTTAGATTGGTTGCGGCTAAAGACTATCACATCAGCTCCAAGCCTCATTGAACTGGTCTTAAAGCCATTTCCATCTGAACATCTACAAGTGGATCAATAAAAATGATGGAAGGAAGCAAACAAGCATAAAACAAGGTAATCCTGATGCACAAAGACTACTAAGATCTACAACATGAAGGCACCGACTCCTCTGAATTTTGCAGAATTCTTTCCATCGCTCAACCCATGAGCTTGACACAGAGAAGTAGCCTTATCAATTACTCAAAATGCTGGATCCTCAAACAAAATAACATGGCTAAATAAGAAACGATTTATTGATCGAGAAGACCATGTACATACATTTTCCAATCGCTGATATCGACTTCTTATCTGAAAATCCAAAACTCAGACAGCGGCGCATTGCTTCTGGATTCATCCCGCTTCCATCATCTAGTTTCAGTGAACAAGCTCATAATATAACATTCTATTAAAATACATGAAAGAAATGGAATATGCCAAATAGGAAGCTCTATAACACAATAACAATAGTCCAGACTCCAAAGGGTGGAAGATATGCTACCTTGAATTAGCAAAGCCGAACTTCCATTTCTTGGGTTTGAAGTTTTATCTATGATTACAAAGGTGGCACCATTTTGTATCTACACAATAACATGAAGTGAAATGAAGAAGCATAGAGCAAACTAACAACAACATAAGTCATATAATGAAAAACACCAGAGGCAGATGTGTCTTTGCCATTGGGCCCATTAATGCAGGACATAAGCCAAAAAAACCCAGAGATGCTTATGGAACATAAACATTTACTAGTCCTCGAGCCTAGAGTTCCTAGGATCTTTTAAATGTCACTCCAATTCTCACAAGTGTGGCCTGAATTACCTCCCAAAATCTGGAAGAAGATTCTAGCCATCAATGATGCTTACATGGCGCATATGATACTCTAACCAACATTTATGGGATGATGGCAAAACTTCAAACCTAAATATTGCTTATTATGCCAAAAGGAATTACTCTCAGGCCTTGTAGCAGGCATCCTAATTACTCAAACCCCATGAATAGCTTCATGCTTTCATCATGTAAAATACAGAATCTACCAACAGGCTGTGTCACTTTGACATATTCTTCCTTTTCCTTTATGTGAAATGGTTAGCTCATTTAAGATGGTTGCCCCAGAAGAAATACTTTTCTATTTCAGTAGGCCACACATCAAGTGCAGGATGGAAATGATTTAGGATCATGTAAATTCAGATTCCTTTTTTTAATGACAAAAAAATAATGACACACTGGTGACAAGGTGCAGCAAAATGCAACAGAAGCACTCAAGTAAGCAGTGGGTTTAGCAAATCGAATCATATGGAAATACCATCATAAGAAAGTAATAAATAAGTCTACTCTTAACCTCAAATGACACTCTAAAAATTGTAAAAAAATGTAGAAGGAGCTCAATGGGCAAGGTAGTGAATGTTAACCTCAATTATAATATTTTCCAATGCAAACAATCTATGAGAAACAATCATTGTGGGGTGTAGTTGGAGAACAGATATGTTCAAGATACTCCTAATTCCACACAAGACAATAGGAATATTCCTTGTTGTAACTGATCTGTGTAAAAAGCACACAAGTCACTGCAAACATAAAAAAGTAGGCAAGCATAACAGTAACGTGGGCCGCAAAGTGAATAAATGATAATATAACCGTAGATACAATCATACAAAAGTGCAAAAGCTGCAATCGCTATGTTACCTCATCCACCGCATTGTCAATAAGCTCTGCTACAGCTGCAGGGACGAAACAATAAATACAGTTTGAGTTGAACATTTGTTGAAGTTGTGACTACACATGCCACTACAATATTACTTTAATAGATGGGTGAACCTCAACATACCACCAAAAACCCATTTATGAGAAGTAGCATTAGAGTGAAGAAATCTTGGGTGTATATGCAGATAACTCGAACCAGCTGTGAATCACATAAACAAGTCATTAAAATGAAAGGGAAAAGAATGCACTACAGCATATTTACATCAGTAAATTCATATAGAACACTCGCAACACCAAGCAAAAAACAGAAGATAAGAGCTAGTTGCTACAAAAAAAAAATATGGACACCATAACATCATTTCGTAACATCGATCATTCAGGTATGCAACCAGAGACACACATAATATGCACATGAGGAACCATAATAGAAAAATACTCATTTTACAACATAAGAACGCATGATACATTGAGTTGTGGACTTAGGAGTAAGCTCATCATTGTAGACTCCAGCTTTCCAGAATTGTCGAATTATAGGTGCCACACAAACTGGTGACGTTGAACAAAGGCTTGCATCATCAACTGATGACTGTTCGTGACCCGAGATCCGAGTCCTGATAGAGCTACGATTCTCTTCAGAGCCTTGTCTTAGACCATGAGTAGCAGACCATCTATCTAGGGTGACAGCAGTATGGGGACGTTTTATTCGACTAGATGTCCCGGGTAAATTTGGATCGAATTTAACAGCATTGGTATCCACTTGTGTAGGAACATTACTCCTGACAAATCTAGGAATGTTCATCCAGATTATTTCATTCACTGCAAAAAGCATTCAGGGATTAAGAAGTGGGTTAGCGTCTTCCAAAAAAAATGACTTCACAAGAACTCAAGAAATAAACTCACAAGAGGGCTATCGTAAAAACTGAAGTTGAGAAATAAGATGGAAATTTCAACATTAAACAAGCAACAAAAAAATAGATGTTGCTAACAAACACCAAGTGTGATCCAAAAAATTTGCCTTGCCATTTTACAATTTCGAGTGCAAGTAATGCTTGAAGATGTCAATGTGAACTACAAAGAGACCAGAGATCAATAAGGTTAGCAGAATAGCAGCTGCCACCTGGACACAAGAAACGAAGTACTTATTGGTCATTTGGTCTAAGAGATTTAGGGTTTTCTCTCAAAGTTCTTTGATTTATTTATTACAGAGAAAAGTATGTATATACAGTATAACGGTCCGTACAAGCATCCAAACTAGAAAAATAAGTCATAGCCATCATATATAAGATAAACTATATATAGTTAGATGTGGCTTTGGAGATTCCGTAATCGTTAGAAAGATTTGATAGAATCCCATAGATATGGAATGAACATCATATATGGACGATGACACTTAGGTACTTGCATGGAAGCTTCCAGGCTCTTTTTTTGCTAGTTCACAAATTACTCACTGGCTTATTGCTATTTATGTGGCCTACTGGCCTAGAGATTTTGTTTACACAACAGGTCTGTGCTACTAGGTATGATTCCGCTGCTTGAAGCCATTTTGATATGTGTGGACTTGCTTCTCGTTTGATTGGAAGACTGCCTAGAAGAAATATTTACAATTATGCTTAGCCAAAGGAGCTAGTTATTTTTTTACCCCACCATAACTGCTGGAGCTTCATCTTTTGCATCCTATGCATAACCACTGGCGCTTCCCTTATTTTTGCAATCACCACAAGCGATCAAAACTGAAGCAATTTCTTTATTTTGTGTCATAACAAGGTCAAATGTTAAAACCTCAATGTGGTTGCTGAGAGTTCAACCCATACAACTCATGTTGCTCTTTGTGTGACAGAATTTGATTTTCATGTGGCTATACAACCAGGCTAAATTTTTGGCACGAATCTATTTCAATTGTTATTTAGCTTCTGCTTCACTAGTTGCTTTTTGTTTCAATCTAATTTCTCTGGTCGCTGATACATGATAGGAACCTAGATGAGTTTAGTAGATAAAATCATAAAACTGATAGCTTACTATTGAAACTATCAACCAAAACACCAAGGTGGCGTTTGGTTTGCAGAATGTTTTTGGATGGAATGGACTCTGTTAAAGGAATTTGACTTTGAAGGATTTGGAATGGCGGTTAGTGGTGGTTCAGATGGCGATGGTCGACAGTGGTTCAGATCGGTGGTGGTCCATGGTGGTTCAGATGGCGGTGATCGGCCGTGGTTCAGATCGGTGGTGGTCCATGGTGGTTCAGATGGCGGTGATCGGCCGTGGTTCAGATCGGTAGTGGTTCAGATCCCAATGGCCGGCGGTGGTTCAGATCGGTAGTGGTCGGTCGTGGTTCAGATCGGTGGTGGTTGGCCATGGTTCAGATCGGTGGTGGTCGGCGGTGGTTCAGATTGCCAGTAATCGGCGGTGGTTCAGATTGCCGGTGGTCAACGATGGTGGTATTGGGATTTATGAGATTAGGGGAGGGAATGGAATTTGGTTAACGGAATTCAACATTCCAATTCCATCAGATTCCTTCAAAATCTGCAAACCAAACGCCCACTAAACGAACACAATATCACCTATACTTGAAAGATAGGCTAACTATCCTGGATGATGGTCTATTGTTGCAAGGTAGACCATCTTTCGCAATGATGCTCACTCACTCAATTAGTCAAAATTGTCTATCATGATGAAATTAAGCATGCTATTACATTCCCCAACACTCGTATCTATAGACTAGTTGCACAAAAATACCAAAACAACATATCACTAACCAATTTAGGCCTGACATAATGCAAAGAGGTTATCAGTTTGTTTAGAACATGGGAAGAGAAGAAACATATTTGCACTCTGAAGATAAGATATTTTGTTTTTAAATATTTGTTTGCTTGTATCCTCGGTCAGTTGTGCATGACTGATACATATGCACCATATTGAAGGGGATTGCTATCACCTACATCCAAGTTAGTAGCTCCTTTCGGTTAATCCCAATCATCTTTTATACATGGATATGTATTAGGATTCTTCAGTTTTTCATGTAAATTGAAAGTTGGCTTTCCTCCCAAAATGCTCGGACACTTGTATCTTTTACGATCATTCTACTATTTGGGTGATGTTATATCCCATGTACTTACAAGGGTTTTTAAGCCCCTTTATTAGTAAATCAAGCCTGCCTACTCATGGTTAGACACCCTGTCCCCTTAAATTTAGGGTCAATTTTTGCTTAAAAGACGGCAAACAGATCAAGAACTCTCATTCTATGTGATAATGGTTTTCCATATAATACCATAGATCAAGATGAAACTACAATGAATAAGAACATTGTTCTAGTTCCTCAGACCGAGAATCACACCCCTATAAACTTGGAAAGTGTGATTTGCGCTTTGACAATTGGTCAAACCTCTTGGTTATTAAACATGTTACCGCCAACATCATCCTAACCGTAGTAAAGTGTTACAAGACTCAATCTAGTTAGCAATTTTACCTTAAGAGTTCCAAAATCCAAAACAAAATCTTAAATTAGAAAAGTAACTCGTTTTGCATCTTAACCCAAAATGTAGCTTCTTTTGAATCTATGGAAGTAGCTTCTCCTGATCCTAACCGTGATATGTAATTATGCATGAAGAACCCCCTTCTTACAACCATTGACCTCAACTAGTATGGATAAAAAAAATTCCCATATGTAACGACAAAAAAAGGAAAATTGGGAACATAATTGACAAGATTAAGCAATATCATACCAGTATAATTCTGTATTTACGGACAGAAGCCCGAACAAGGGAAAATTCAAGAAGCAAATGAAACGGTTGTGAAAAGGAGAAGGTAGGGTTTTTGAACTCACGGAGAGTCTATAGTTCATTTCTCTAGAGACGTGCAGTTAGTTCAGGTGACAGATAATAGAGGCCGCAAACTTGTTAGTTGCGGTGACGAATCCGGCCTCCGGTGGCGGACCACCGTGAAAAGCGGGGAGAGGTCCGAAAGATGCTGGACAAAGTCGTCGGAGTACGGTTGTCTGAGAAACCAAAATTTGAAAAACAATTGAGTACACATGTGGATATTATTCTCTAAAATAAATAAAAGTATATATTATTATTCTAATTTATTTTGGAATAAATATCCGCTTTCAACGTTTATCCAATTCTAACTCGGTAAACTTATCGCATCAAGATTTAAAATTTTACTTAAGGTGTTTGGGATTGTTTATAAAAATAATTTATTGATTTATTTTGGTGTGTCACCGATAATAAGTACTTTTAAGTGTTTGGATGAATAACTTATATCGGTGCCAAACCAGTAATAAGAAGTTTTTGACGAAATCAAACTCTTCTGACTTATAATAAGTTAATAAGTGCTTTTGTAGAAAAGCATAAGTTGTTTCAGATAAACAATCCCAAACACCCCCTTAATTTATTGGGTAAGATTTTTAATTTATTAAAATGATATCATATGTAATATTTTTATCCGGTAGGTGTCTACTGGGTGAGAGTCGTCGCTCTTACTTATCGGATAAGACTTTCATGTCATTTATCATCGTTCTTACCAGGTAAAATTTTCATTGTCATGTTCATCCGGTAAACACTTACCGGATAAGCATTTAATAAATGGCCCCTAAATGACTATTTTCTTATTTTATCCTTGATTATAAGATAAAGAAAAATTATCTATTTATAATTAATGATAAAATTGTCTTTTTATAATTAAAAAGGGGTAGTGATTATACTTTCCTAAAATTGTGTCTCTTTCATTGTGGACATTTATTTTGAAATAATTTGTTATGTCATCTTAAATTGATGTGTCAGGAGCAGACTAATTAAGAGCATTTGTAACCATCCTACAAAACTTCAATTTTGTCGGTGATTCCTTTTCAACTGACTGTTAAAATCTGGTGACATTTATTAGAGTCTGGTTGGTTTGTAGGATTGTTTTTAAGGGATTTGGATTTCATGAAGAGATTTGGACTGTAATGGATTTGAAATCATTGGTGTGTTTGGTTTGTAGGATTTGGAATGGAATTGAGTTTCATTATTTATAAACTAGTTGTGTACCCGCGCAATGCGGCGGAAGCAATGAATTTTAACGATTTTGAAGTTCCACTAGTTTTATAAGATAAGATTTAACGATGATATAGGTTACACTTAGTCTTTACATATTAATACAATTTGAATAAATAAGAGTTGTAGTTTCAATTACAGGCTATCGATGGAAAAAAAATTGTATGACAGTTTAAAATCCAATATATTTAAACGACTACACAAACGTGTTCGATTTACACCAAGAGCAAAACCAAGAAACTTGAGTTTTAAAATAAACACTCAAAACCAATAAAGAAAAGTACAAATTTAACATATCATAAGCCATGAAAAGACCAAAAAAGATGAGTTTTAGAATGAAATTTTAACTGTTTACCTTTTTTCTTATCCAGAAACTCAGAATAAGGTTAAATTAATACATATATATATATATATATATATATATTTCAAAAACTCAAAAACATATTAATTCATAACATATTATATAGTGCAATTTGGACAGCCTAACCTCAAAATATATAGTATATATATATATATATATATATAAATAAATAAGTATAAAAGTATAAATCGTAAATATTAAAAATATTTTTTCACAGTATATATAATATATAATAATATAATTAAGTCAAAACAATTCAATATTGGACTCATTTCGAATGTATTAAAAAGACGATTATAATGGTGTAACTTGTTAAAATAAAAATGTACTTTTTAAACATGTTTTAATTGATATACGATTATGTATATTAATTCGATAAAGGTTTAAAATGAAACATTTAAAAGTAAAGAACGTAAAGTAATTAATTAACTAATTATAGGAGTATAAAGTGTAAATTAAAAAAAAATGTTGTAAGTGGGTGAGTGCATGTGAGGGGGTGAGTGCATGTGAGGAGAGGATGGAGGGGTGAAAAAGTGTATAAATGGTATCTTGGTCATTTAGTATTTTAAGACTTTAAGACTTTTGCTAAATTTGCTTTATAAGATAGTACAGATAAAAATTATAAATAATTATAAAAATAATTGAATTACATTTTATTAATCCATTATTACAAAACAAATGTTTTAACATTTTCTAAAATCTTATTACATACAATCCTACAAAATCCCGTGAAATCCCAGCACTCCCTAAGGATTTCAAAATCTTATATTTAAAGGATTTCACTTAAACCCAATGATTTCAAATCCGGACAATCCAACAAACCAACATAATATTGAAATGGATTTGAAATGCAAATCCCCCCAAAATCCATTCAATTTATTCAAAGCAAACGGGACCTAAGATTCAAATTTCCTTTAGTAGAATGATTCTCCTAACATTCTTCGAAACAAAATCTTCAATCAACTTTTTCGTAATCAAATTTATGCAATAAGTCGTTTAACTAAAAGGGTTAGCATATACGAGTTTACCAAAAGCCGTTACCTCAAGATCTCGAAAAACCCCAGCTCGATTCTAAGACCGAATTCTCCTTAAATCTCGACTTTTCTTGTGTGTTTCTAAATGGTTATGGTGCTACAGCAATGTAAACAGTATCACGATGAACATCGACAAGTTTGCAGTAAAAGAAGTCAACAAAATTGCAGGTGAGGTTACTCGTCGAACACGAAAGGGGGGAAGAAAAAGATTATAAAACACAAACTCACGCTTGAAACTTCAATCATAAAATCAGCCATCGGGGAAATTAAGATGAATGTGACTAGCCGACTAGGAGAGGTCAATCGTCAAACTAAGAATCTAAGGAGAAGGGATTGCAAATTTGCAGCTGTAATTGTGAATCAACAAATCGCCAAATTTGGTATAAGAGAAAGGAAATTGGGGGCACTAGGCTAAATTACTAAAACATTATATTTACCCAAATTGGCTAAAATAAGAGGGAGAATGTGACATACTTGAGTTAAAACATAGGCTAAATTGCATGAAAAAATAACGTATTTTAACTTGATTCTTATTTTAGATAACATATTTTCAAAACTTCAATTTTGGTACATATGATATAAGGTTTTAAACATTTAAGTATTTGGTTAAAGCATTAACCGGTTATCATACTGATGTGGCGAGTGATGTGCAGAGACGCTCCAATCTTTTTGGAGGCCCTGTTGCATTCAGAACTTTTGACGGCATTATATAAGAGATATCAACACACACACACACACACACACACACACACACACACACACACATATATATATATATATGTTAAGCATAAAAGGAAGCTGATCCTAGACAATCAACAATCTCAACCTAACCTAAACCTAAATCATTAATAATTTATATAAAACCTAAACTATTGACAATTTGAACCTAAACAATTTGGGCTATAATTTTACACATATTGATGAAAATGCCCTAAACATATGTAAAATTGGGCCCCAAAAAATTGAAGGCCCTGTTCAAAATCTCACATTTAACATGCTAAGAGACGGCCCTAGTGATGTGGTATAAAACTTAATATTATTTGCTGATGTAGTTAGTGACATGGTTTTTTTTTAATATAATATCATACTTTTTTTAATCTAAACTTATTCTTCAACCAGTTACTCAGGTATTTAAATGGTTAAAACTTTACATCATAGGTACCAAAATGAAAGTTTTGAAAATACGTTACCTGAAATACGAATCAAAGTTGAGGTACGTTACTTTTTCATGCAATTTGCCCAAGTCAACACACACACACACACACACATATATATATAGAGAGAGAGAGAGAGACGAAGTATCGTGTGATAAGGAGAGTTAACGTAAGAAGTGTAAGAAGGGATTTGGATCCTTGATCACATTTAATCATAAACCCACAAATGAATCATGCTTGATACACGGATTGATATGGTACATCTCGGTGCATCTTATCCTAATGTGCATCTAATAGTGGATGTCTCTTCTTATGTCAATACTTTGTACGGAATCTCACATTCGTAAAGCCTCTCGCACGACCCATTGAACAAACGATTACTACGTTTTTTTGAGTTATAAATGGATATATGCTTCAAAATTGGGAATGTTGATTTCAATAACAGTATTTTTAAGTTGTACATGAGTATTATTATACCTTTTTTTTTCCTTTAGTTGAAACGGTTGCGATCAAAAACCAACAAATCAGTACTTCATATTGCGACCTCGATCGTGGTTGTCCCTTTCCAATTAGACATTCTCGTTGTTCCATTTAAGAAGTTGTACGACTAACGCCCTTCAAGGAATCCAGTATTATGTCAAAACGGCAATTAAACATAAGAAAAATGGTTTTTTGTATGTTTCTGTTACTCAGTTCTGTAGTTGTTGACCAATATATCAAAAAGTCTGTCTTTTAATGGTTCTAAAACCCTCTTAATGATTATGTATCACGAGTCCCTCTTAACCATTAAGCGCCCTAATTCCATTGTAAACAATTACCGAACAATTATATTTCATTTTGCACTATATCATAAGAGTCTCTTAGTCATCATGACCACTTAATCACTCTACACCAAACCATTCAACAACTGTCAATGGATTACCTCACATTTTAATTTGAACAACCATCAAGAGGCTGGCATGTAATAGTATCTTTTCATATATTGTAGTCAATAAATGCATCAAGAATAAAAATCCAATGAGGAATAAAAATCATCTTGTGGCCATGGAGGTTCAAATACGGTGATTTCGGGCTATCTGCAAAGCAGGTGGTCGTCCTAGGATTAGTTGACTCGCATAGCGGGTTGGATATCCAGGTTAATAAAAAAAATGTATCAAAAATAAACCACAAAGGTGGTGCCTGATTGGTTTGAGCTTGGGCTCCAAATGTCAAAGTGTCTGGAGGTCTCAAGTTAAAATCCAAGGAGGAATAAAATTCCTCTTGTGACCACGGAGGTTCAAATGCGATGACTTCGGGCTACCCGGAAAGCAGGTGGTCGCCCTGATATTAGTCGACTCGCATAGCAGGTTGGATATCCAGGTTAATAAAAAAATGTATCAAAAATATAATATTAAATTATTAAAGAATTTTCGTTCCAAAACCAATCTTTTCATAATTAATTTTTAAAGTTCATTTTTCCATAAAATGAAAAGCTGAATAAATTTTAATTTGTGGATAGCAAAGTGTCGTATCGATGCTATCTTTTGTGGTGGCCAACTAAACTTCAGCCATCGTAGCGGTCCCTTTTTATGACGTTTAACAAATTTGGATTATTTTTTGAATTATTTTTTAGTCATCAATCAACGTAATTATATTCGATTGAACATAATAAGTTTTTGTATCGAGAATCAATAATTGAAAGTTGATATTCAATTATTTTTAAGTTCAATTATATGAATACATGTTTATATATTCCTGATCTGTAAACTAAAACCATAAAGCTTTAAAAATACACACCCAAACATCGTTTCGATGGCCCGATCAATTCTTTTACATACCTAATTAATACGATTCATGCAAACGCTCCACTGACAAACAAAAATGACTTTACTTTTTCCAATCATACGTGGCCCTTGAATAATATATAGCATGTACAAGGTTTGAGTACACAACATACAAAAATGACAAGTCACATAAGTGATTAGTTTGTCTTTGCACCATTAAAGTAGCTAAATCTTAAACTTGAATGCTTATTGTTTTGTGTTGCAACATTCCACTAGCATTGACCTGTAAGAAGCGGCTTTTTTGGAAGACTATGAATTCAAATGTTGCCTGAAGAAACAGATAAATTTTTGATGAACTCGTGGTTAAAGACTGAAGATCTGAGGTTGAAGACTTTTGGAAAGTGCTTTTTGTACTTGATATGATACTCTTTTTTGCTTTTGTACCATTTTGTCTCTTTTTTAGGACCCTTCAAATGGTATCAAAGTCGAAAACCAAACTGAATACCATCTCTATCGGACGCGTTTTAAAATCATGACTCAAGTATAAACAAAACAGAGAACATCTAATACGGTTAGCCTGAAATATTACAGTATCAACATAACATGGATACAATTTGACAGGCTTTTAAAATACATTTCATCATATAAAAAAAATATAAATTATAACTCAATATATATATATATATTTAAATTACATATATATATACACACATATATATATATATATATATATATATATAGGGTTTATTTCAAATACAACCTATCGCATTTGTACAACCAATGCAACCCAATAAATTGAAATATTTATGGAAATGATTAGAGTTCATTTATTATGATTTAAATATTTATGGAAGATGAATACGGTTCATTAATTATGATTAATACTTTATATTAGGAAATAATCAAAACCTCTATAAAATCACATATTAATCAAATGAAATGGACGGTTGAGATTAGGTTGTATTGGTTGCACAAATGACAAGGGTTGTATAATAACCAACCTCTATATATATATATATATATATATGAATCAACCAAAAATACATTTTCTTCTTCAATTTATCCAACCTATAAAAATCTCAAACTTTTACCGGTGGAATCAAAATCATCAAAGCATTAAATGGTCCACAAAAAACAACTACATCATCAACCATTATACGATGGCCCCAAACAAATTACATCATAATCAACCATAAATAATAAAATAAATATCCATAAGTTTAAAAATATAACTGGACAAATTGCATAAAAAAATAACGTATTTTAACTTAATTCCTATTTTAGGTAAAATACTTTCGAAACTTTCATTTTGATACCTAAGATAAAAAGTTTTAAACATAAGTACCCGGGTAACCGGTTGAAGTATTAACCGGTTACCATGGTGATGTGGCAAGTGATACGGTATACAACTCAATATTATTTGCTATTCAACTCAATTTCATCTTATCACTCGCCAGTCGTCACATTAACATTATAACCAGTTAATGATTCAACCAGTTACCTGAGTACTTAAATGTTTAAAACTTTACATCTTAGAAATCAAAATGAAAAGTATGTTATCCAAAATAAGAATCATGTTCAAATACGTTGTTTTTCCCAGTATATAATCATTATATTTTTTAATTAATAAAATAACTCTAAAAATAATAAATAATAATAATAATAATACCTTAAATATCGCTCTCAACAATAAATTATTTCGATGTGCATACCAAATTATTGAAATATTTAATAATTTAAACAAAAATAAATATTATAATTTAAATGGATAAATATTTTTTTCACAATACCTTTTTAGGCAACTAACGTAATTCCATCCAACAACCCAAATAAAGGAAATTCATTTTCATTATTTTAAAAAATATAGTTAGAGAAAGGACATTGGGACCATGTATGAATGATTTTTGTATATAATGATTAAATGGTCAGAATGATTAAGAAACTATCGTGATATAGTGTAGATGAAATATAATTGGTTGGTAACTGTTTACAATGAAATTAAAACGTTGAATAGTTAAATGAAGTCCATATTACAAAATCATTTAGAGAGTTTTAGAACCATTAAGAAGCAAATTTTTTTTGCAAACAATATTTACTTCTTAATGATTCAGATGTTGTCTATTAATGAAACTATTAAGAAATAAACAAATAAACCCTATTGGTGTTGTCACTCCCTCACCACCACACAACTACTATTGTCACCACAACCACCACCCACCCATCCTCCCTCACCTATCCACCACCATGTTACTACTGTCGTCATCACATCTACAACTCCCACCCTATCCTACCAACCACCATGCCAATATTGTCGTCGTCACAAATACTACTATCCACCCACCACCATACCACTACTATCGTTATCATAGCTACCCTTTATCGGGCCACCACCTTACCTATGCCACTAAGATAATAAATTTTATTTCAAAATAAAAAAAGATAACAGTTTTCAACGAAGAAAAAAACATATTTTTCTACCAAAAAAAATATTATTTACTCTTATTATTTTGTCACACAAATCTATACTATGTTATAAAACATTTGACAAAAACTCTTAAAAATCGTTTTTATACGTAAAGTACTGTTTCTTAATGCATATTACTTAAAACTTAAAATTACAAGTAGATTGTACGTAAGTACAACTTATTAAAACTCCATATTTGAATTCGTGGAACTAATTGCAGATAAACATAATAAAATATTTATACAATTTCACGTATTTATTCATTATCATAACGAAATTTACATCTAAATTATATAATTAACATTCATTTAAACGAAAATATGTCATTAGCGGTGTTTAATACATTTGCATCCTATTAAAATACATTAATTAAGAGATGAGGATTGATTTGGTAATGATCGATTGAGAGATCAATGAAGGTTAATTGATTGAAAAACGTCGTTGTTAAAGATTTGAAGAACAACAAGAGACAAATAAGATGTTGGTTTACCTCTTACCATATAAGAGAAAAATAAGACATAAGTGATTCTGAAAAATTGAAAAAAAAAAAACAGTCTCAATAACCTTCCCTCTTAACGATTCAGACATAAAAAGCTGATAAGAGTCTTTTTTATGAAAAAATAAATAAGTCCTAGTCCCCTAGCTATTTTTTTTTCTAGTTTTATCTAGATGTCACTGCATTCACAAGTGACACCTTCTTAATTTGTGGAGTTAGCTAAATGACAAAATTCTTATACAAATATATGCTCAGGTTCGTAAGTGACATATTCATAATTTATGTCCAAGTTCGTAAATCATAAAGGTGTCACTTACGAACCTAGACAGAAGTTGTATTTTTTTTACCAAACCCTTATCCTGGTAAAAATTTATCGACAAAATTCAATACTATTACTTACTTACCGGGTAAGATTTAATACACGAAATGATTCGTATACAATAATTTACCCGGTAAGCACTAACCGTGGTAAGATTCGTCGTACTGACTTACCAGGTAAGACTCTAGGTCCTTATCTTCGTTCTTATTGGATAATATTATTATTGGTTCTTCTCATATTCATCAGTAAGATAATATAACTTGATAAACACTTACCGGATAAGTGTCTAATAAACGAGCATTGAAAAAATTGGTCATTTGATCAATTTTCCTTATTTAAATCTCACACATTTGTTATCAATTATTATTTTTCCTTAATAGAATTTGAAACGTAAAATCGAATTAATATAATATTATTTTTATGATAAAAATATTATTTGTTTTTGGAGAAAATATATAAACAGAGCACAAAGTGAAATCGTTTTCCCTCCTTTCCACGGTCGTCTTCGGCAACGCCTCCACGCCTCTCTCCTTCCATGGCGAAACTGCTCCACACTGCCTCCACGAGTTCCAGTTGCAGTTCAGTTTCTCTTCCAAAGCAACGTAATCACAGCTCGTTTTACAGTTTCGATCGTATTTCTGTTCCATTCCGATCGGAATCGTCGATCAGTTTGTACTCAACTGGTCGTTTATCGCCTTCAATTTGTTGTTCGTATTCATCATGGAAGACAGGGAGTTGGATTTCGAATCCTTCACCGGTTTTGAAGAGTGACTCTTCTGATGGTTTTGAAGTCAAAGCGACGTCCGGTTCTGATAGCACTAATGAAAGTGATGTGGCGGCGGTGGCGGTAGCGAAGTCGAAAATGGCGGAAATGGCCGTGCTTGGATTGTTATTTGGGATCTGGTACCTTTTCAATATCTATTTCAACATCTACAATAAACAGGTTTGCTCGTTTTCTTCTTCTTCTTCTGTGGAAGCGTTTTATTTGGTCCGTGTTTGGTATTTAATTTACGTCTGGATATGTAGTGATATGCATGTGAAGTGATTTTGTTGATTTACACGCTCTGTTCCTCAGTTTGTTTGTAATGATCGTGTATCTACTTTCGAATCATGTATTTTCAGAAATTTTGGAGCAACCCAGTAGAATCAGTTCTTGCATCTTTTTCGTGACTTAAAATAAAAATTCACAATGGAAACTTGTCTCAAAATTAGTATAGAGTATGATTTCGATACAAAATCTTCTCCTAATGTAACTATGGAAATACAATATTTACAATGATGATAGGCTTTCTACCCAGAGGAGGAAATACAATATCCTGTACTTACAGGATAGGCTAATTACCGACGTTTCTTCTCACATCTATATAACCTAATTATGGAAACTTTATGTAAAAATACTAAGGAAAAATAATGGCAACATCCCGCCTCAAATTGATGCTCATTATTTCCACACATAATTTTTGAACAATGTTCCCATAGTTAGATTATACAGACGTGAGAAGAAAAGTCAATAATTAGCCTTGGAATCAGCCTATCCAGAATGTCCAGGATATAGGTAGACAGTCCTTTCCACCTCTGAGGTAGAAAGCCTATCATCTTTGTATATATTTTATATCCGGAAAGTTAACACACGTTGCCATTTTACCCGGCTCAATTCATCATATACTCGATATATCTGCAAGTGCCCAGGCCGCAATTTGCGAGGGTATTTAAAAAAAATTGATCTCGAGTTTTTCAGAAGATCTAGGAGTAGTGGACGTGGCTTATCATCCATAGCTTGTTTTCTGAAAATGGAGACTTGAGAGGAACCTGCCAGAGATAATTGATGGCTAAAATGGCGGTAAGAGGAAGGAACTTATAATGAGCTTTCACCCTCCGCACTTTGAGGTGCCCCTCCGCATGTTTGAAACTTGAGTTAATAAGAGGGGTGGCACTTGAGTTTATTTTTAGAAAAATGCCCCCTCCACAAGTTGGTATTGGTATGAAAAGGGAGAGGAATGGTTAGGAGTTGAAATTTGTCGGTCAAAACGGCTATTTCTGATAATCTCCCTTTATTTCCATAGTTGGATTACGTAGATGTGGTGAACAACTGACATTTGTAGATATCTAGGCGAATGCATAAATTGACCATCCTGCTATATAACAAAAGGAAATTTCAGGTCTGGTAATTGTCAAGTAGTTCATGTTAATCACCAGTTTGGATACATCAAAGGATTTGAAAGTTGCTACCTTGTGGACATGATACTTAGCATTTGCCAAGCCCCTGAAACTTGTTTCAATCTATACTTCTATACAATGAGCGATTCAAGTTACAAAATACGGATGTAGATGAGGAAAACAAAAAAAATCACAAAATACGGAAGTAGAAGGGGAAAACAAACCAGAAGGATGTCATGTAAAGATCTTCTGTTAGATCACTGTGGAGAAAAGCATTTCTGACATCAAATTATTGAAGTGACAGCCTTTTATCGCAACAATAGCTAGACTTGTTCTAACCTAGTCATTTTGTCCACAGGAGCAAATGTCTTATTGTAGTCAGTAGCATACTCTTGTTTGTTACCCAGTGCAACATAATTGAGCCTTATTAGCCATCAGAATTGGTGTTTTATTGAGTAAACCCACTTGCACTCAATGTCGGAATTCGGATTCATCTGTAGAATCCGATTTTTTTTTCCGGCATTGCTCTTTGCCAACACCCATGTTTTGTTACTTGTGAATAAAAAGTTGGAGCTCACATGGAGGACAAAGGGGCTGTAAATGATGTATGATATCCACACCAATAACATTGAGGAAGGCGAGAGATTCAAGTTCTTGTAGGGGTTAGCTCAACTGGCAATAGGCTTGGGTCTTTGGGGATTCTCCACAGAGGTCATCAGTTCGAGTCTTGCAAGGCCACTGGGGATTTTTCCTTGCTGTTCTCTAGGGCCCCTGAGATTAGTCGAGATGCACGCAAGCTGCCTTGACACTCATGGTTAACAAAAAAACAAGATTTGGGTGACCGTATTTGGGTTGGTGGAGCAGGACCATACCCGGGTTTGGTCAGAAGCCAGTGGTGAAGGACATTGTCGGTAAATCCAGGCTTGAACAAATTTAGAACCAATAGATACATCACCAAAATTTAGGCAGATTAGCAACTTTAGGTGATGAGCTAACAGGAAATGGAAATAATATTTTTTTTCAAAGAAAACAAACATTCTGAGAGATTCTAATGTTTTTGGAACCAGGATCATAGCAAGCACAGCCTTTGTGATTATTATTGCACCCAATATATGCATATTTAACAGATTGAACATAAAGCTTTATAATATTCATTAAGAAGCAAGCAAACAAAACAAACACAATTATAGGTATACAGATGCTGGCAATCTGGATGTTTGATGCAGAACGGAAACAGGGTAAAAACAATTGGGAAACTCAAAGATTGCTGAAATTGATTAATTCAAAGGTGAAGAAACCCTTAAGATTACATGTCTATTTATACTAATGAAAGGAAAACTTAATTAACTAGGAAAACTTTAAACCTAATTCTACTCTAACTAGGAAAGTGAATAATAATAATCCTAAACCATAAGTTAACTCTAGGAAAGCATTTAAAATATAAAACCTAATTTTACTAGGAACACTAAATAATGCTTAAGAAAATCCTAATTAGATTAGGTAACAAAATAAAGAGAAGTAACTAAGGAAATAGTTAGAAAGGAATGGGCTTGTTTTTGTTTTTGTTTTTTTTGAAGAAAGGAATAGGCTTTGTTTGTTGATAAGTTGGCCCTTTTCCCATTTCTTCATGTACGACTCCTCTAAGGACTCGATTTGTTCCGCATCAAAGTTTATGATATACATGAAAATAAGAAGAGTTGAACTTTAGAGTCTTAATAAAATAAATTGCTATAGATAAAGCTTCAACCCAAAACTTTGGTGATATGTTATGCACTGACCCAAGCCCAAGCCATCAATAGGATGCATATTCTATAGAAGGGTTAGTTTTGGTATCGAGTCTGTTAAGACGGTTAATAAATAGGGGAGAGGTGAGGGAGTGGAGATATGCAGGAAATACTGAGTTTGTCTTTGGGAGAGTCTAGCTTCTCGAATAGCTAGTTCCTATCTTTTTTTTGTTAATAGAAGCATTCGAATACCGTTTTTTCCTATTGCTTTTATTATAATTGTTCAATCTATCTAGTTCATAACTGATGCTGAGGTTTCAAGTAACAGTTGCAGTAAATTTGTCGAATTAGTGTTGTAATGAGTTTCATCTATGACTTCTTGAAAGTTTCTGTCCAGAAGAATAAAAGCAGTTCATCCTGGTTAATGTTCACAGGTTCTGGAAGTTTTTCCAAATCCAGTAACCCTGACTGCAGTTCAGCTTGCTGTTGGGACTGCAATGATATTTTTCAGCTGGGCCTTAAATCTTCATAAATGGCCGAACATCAGCCGTGCACAGGTATGCAATTGATAGTTTCGTGCAAAGAAACTAGTTTGTCTGATGTACATTTTATTCTTGATACTAATTTAATCGCTTTCCCGCAGCTTGTAGCAATCCTGCCATTGGCTGTAATGCACACGTTAGGTAATTTTTCGACTAACATGAGTCTTGGAAAAGTTTCGGTTTCATTTACTCACACAATCAAAGCAATGGAACCATTTTTTACAGTAGTACTCTCTACTATTTTTCTAGGAGAGGTTTGTTTTCTATCTACTTCCATGCTTCCATGTTTCTCTTTTCCTAATTTTCGTTTTTCATTTTACATGTTTGATGATGATCATTTTCGACCAACCTGCATAAAAATGCAAAGTTTTTTTATCTGATTCTTATTTAAACCTTAATTTTGGTATCCCAGATGTGATATATCAAACATTTAGACCAAAATAAGTATATAAAATAGGAATTCGACCATAGTACATTGTTTTTCATGTTTTTTCGACTTAAACTAGGTACCCATATGTTTGAAGTGTCAAGTTTGATGTATCAAAACAGAGGTTTCAAAATTACATTACATAAAATAAGCATCAGATCAAGTTCTTTGCATTTTGATGCAATTTGTCAATTATTTTCATCCAAAATTTGTGTATAATACACATCTTGGCACCTATGTGTAATGATATTTTATCCGACTGAACAGATTCCGACACTATGGGTAGTGAGTTCCCTTGTACCAATTGTTGGTGGAGTCGTACTTGCATCTCTGACTGAGGTCTCATTTAATTGGTGAGGACACAAAGTGGACATTTGATGCCTCTCATTTTTCCCTTCGTATCAATTGCTTTACAGCTGTTCACTAAACTAACCGGATAAGTGTTGCTGATTCAATAAAAATAATGTTCTTTTTTCCACACCCTCTTACTCACAATTTCGTTGACACAAAATACTTTTACCCAATAAGCGTTTAACGGGTAAAAAGACACTTACCAACGATTCATTTAGGTGACGAGAATATTACCCCATAAAACGACAAGCAAAGACGATAACTATTTTGAGTACCTGCTACACGTGTTTAATAAACAAACCTCTTAGTTGATTAACAAACATGGTGTCACTATTTTGGATTGTATTTATGTTCTACTGTTTTGTAATTGGGAAACAGGGCAGGGTTTTTGAGTGCAATGGCATCCAATCTGTCAAATCAATCGCGTAATGTCCTGAGCAAAAAGCTTATGGTAAAGAAAGAGGTAATCTTACTAATAATTCTTTTTCTTTTTGATCATATTTATTGGTGTGCTAACACTAAATATTATATCATACCTTCATTTTCTACAGGAATCATTGGACAACATTACCCTTTTCTCAATTATAACAATTATGTCTTTCTTCATATTTACTCCTGTTGCATTACTTGTGGGAGAAGTCAAATTTACCCCTGCTTACCTGCAATCCGCTGTGAGTATTAATGAAAATCAGATCATTATTTGTTATTTTACAGCTATAAACGTCGGTTTATACTAATAGTGGTGGTATCGGTGGGAACCTTAAAAAAGAAAAACCGAAGAACCACGAAAAAGCGGATGAAAAAATACATATCAAAGAACAATTGCGTATCTGGCCATTAATTCATCTCCATATTTTCAGGGTTTAAACCTTAAACAGGTGTACGTTCGGACTCTCCTTGCTTCAATCTGCTTCCACACATATCAGCAGGTAAATCATCTTAGATCTTGTATATGCACAACACTAACAACTATCACATTATGAGTAGTGTAATTGGAATGTTTTAAAATGTTAAGCAGATATTTTTAATGCTTAATTTCAATTCAGGTGCTATCATCTGATTTGGATCATCGTTTTTCGTAGTTAAATAGTGGGAGGTTCAAATAAGAATGCTAAAAATCGTTAGAAGGTAAGAAATGATAAGTTCAAATTATTGAAAGAATCCATTTGAAGATGTATATGTAAACTCATATGGATAATCTGTAATATTGATTTACATATGCATCACCAAATAGATTTTTTCAATGATTCACATATGAATCTTTCCTGTTTATCTTATCACGATATTTAGACTTCTTATTTGAATCGACCCTAGTTACACATGCTTCTTGTTAGTGAGATTGCAAACCATCAAAGTTTGTTGAGGTTGTAAATTTCAATTTCTATTTTGACTTTAGGCCTTGAATTTTTTTCTGATTCGTGGAGGTTGATAGAGAAACAACCGGCGATAAACCAAACCAAATAAACCTATTATATCTTAATAAACGACTATTCAAGTCATCAAATTTTACAAATTTAGCAGGTTGCCATCAAAATGAGCACAAAATATAAAACTTTGTTATATTAATTGAGAAAAAAAAGAATCTTACCAGAAACTAAACCAAACTTTGTGGAATGAATAGGTGAACTAGTATTTTTGCCATGGCAAGTTCTTGGGCGAATTCTGCATGGATTTGGTTATCCGCTAATCGCCAACGCCAACATCCAAAACTAAACCACAAGGGTTGTGGCGTAGTGGTTGAGGCCCAGGAGATGTCGTGGAATATCCCATCTGTCGTGGGTTCAATTCCAGGCATCCACAACAGTTATGGCCATTGAGTTTATCAGAGTTGGTGTCTTACAATCGTAATTTATCGGGATTAGTTAAGGCATACCTCAGGAGACAGCCTCCCAAAAAAACATCCAAAACTAAGACCAATTTTAATCAAATTTTTTTACTCCACTAGTCAGAAAGCTGTATGAATATAAGTACTGACTCGAGTTCGATATACAGGTTGCTTATATGATACTACAAAGAGTATCTCCGGTTACACACTCGGTGGGCAACTGTGTGAAACGTGTTGTGGTCATTGTATCCTCTATCTTCTTCTTCCGCACACCCGTCTCACTCATCAATGCCATAGGTAAATAAATTTCTTCAAAAGTACTATTTCTTGTAACACCCCTCTTTCTAATTGATTGTTTATAAATCGAATTGAGTGAACATCTTCAACACCTTATCCAAAATGAAAGAAAATATGCGCTGTTTTTTTTCTCCGAAACGGAGAAAGTAGAAGAAAGGATAAAAATATTGGAAATTGGCTAAAATAAGCGATCTCCACAACCAAATTCATTTTTAGCTACTTTTGGCACTGAATTCCCATTTTAACCAAAGTTTACTCAAATGTGTTGCCCATTTTTATAAAGCCTATTTTTAGATTTAGAAAAACAAAAAAAAATTCATTATGCAAATTACAGAAATATTCTTAAATATTTTATTTTTGTTTTAATTTTTAAATAGGCTTTATGCAAATGCATAAGACATTTGCTTATATTCTAGCTAAAACGGGAATTTGATTGACTCGATGAAATTTGACTATTTTAGTCAACTTCCCTGGATAATATCCAACTTTCGTTGACTCTCTGAAATTAAATGCTAAAAACAAATATTTGTTTATCCTTCGTAACAATGAATCCTAATGTACTGTTAATTTTATATAAAAAAACTTGGAATTCTTTTCAGGATAATATTAAATATATATTAAAATCTTCAAAATGAAAAACTTATAAAAACGAGATTTCAACTTTTAATTTATAATTTTAGAAAAAAAAAATCAGAGCAAATATTTTAAAGTATCTTCAAGAGTTATGTTATTTTAGAAATTTTGGAAAATCTGCTTCAATTATACCAAACTCTTCTTCAAAATAGAAAATAAAGGGAAAAAACGAAGAAATCTGTAAATTTAAAAAACGAGAGAAAAAAAATATAATATATTTGTTAGAGGTATTCTTACATTTTTTTAATTCCATGTTATTTTCAGGCACTGCAGTTGCGCTTGCTGGAGTATTTTTATATTCACAAGTGAAGCGCATTAAGCCCAAAACTGTCTGAAGTATATCAACTTATTCTGTGTTACAAAAAGGAGGTTTTGGGTGATAGATTTAGAATATATTATTGGATGACTGCAATACCGTTCCTTTAGCGGATATTCTTTTGAGTAACAATTTTTTAGTTAATTTGAAGGTTATTTAGTTCGCTCGATATGTGGTGTACCGGACCCATAATTACCAAAAAAATATGAATCATTCCTTTCCTACTTTTGCATGGCTACTAAGTTTATCATGGCTGATATCTTACGGTCGTAATTTATGGGGTTTAACCAATGCATAGCCTGAGATTTCCTTCCAAAAGATAATATACCTTTAAACAGGTATTTCTTTCATGAATCTTGTCATAAAGAGTAAAATAAAACGATTCATTGTGGTATTAAAACCATAAAAACGAAACAAACTCGGTAAATCCCATACAGAGTAGAGATGTGGTTTACAAGCATCTTTGGTGGAAAACCGTTTGAGGGCTCTGAGGATCGATCTCCGAGTGGTGAGGGAAATCGGAAGGCATTTCGGTGGCGGAAAGCCAAGCTCCTTTGAATGCTCTGACAACTTCTTCAAAAACAACTCCATTTCCATCTGGTGTTAGGTGCAGGCCATCACTGTAAGTATAAAACACCATAATATTTTGTTAGCTTTACAACAAATTTTTGCAAGTTGGTGAACCATCATAGTTTTAAAACAAACATTGTTTTATTTTATAATTTAAACTTTTTTTTAGTCGTGGGTGTCTAGACAAGTTTGCTCGCACCACAAATAATCACATGGGATCCTGAAGATAACAGCCAAAAAATCCCAGTGGTCCGAGAGACTAGATCTGACACCTATGGGAAATTGGGAAGGGGCCCATTGCTGGTATTTTATAGCAAATAGAGCATCCAACGAGCTAATCAATCACGAAGTTTTTCATCTCAAACTCGAGCTTAATAATTCTCGAACGAGTCGATCTCGAGCACAAATTAGAGCTCGTTTAACTTAACAAGTCGAGCTCGAGCTCCAAAACACATGTTCAACTCGACTCTTTCGAAAGCTCGATTAAAGTTTTCAAGTCAAGTCAAAACGAGCACACATTTTTTTGAGCTGAACATTTCATAAATCATACAATCGAAATATAAAAATTATTGAATTCGGGCCGATAAACGAGTTAATCAATCTCGAGTTTGAGCCAATTAACGAGCTTATAAAGGTTGAATTTCAGGTCATAAGGTACAACTCAAAATTGTTAAACAAACATCGAGTTCAAGTTCGAACAATGAGAAATTATTTGAGCTCGAGCCCGATATAATTTTCCAGAACCAAGCTCGAATAACCGAGAATTGTATATGGAGGCTAATCTGGATCACACGCATCGCTACAACTTAGTTGGCATGTTAGCCCCCGCCCAAATTTAAAAAAAATGTTGGTCGAACGGAAATTTCCTATTTGATCCATCTTTATGTCTCAGTTTTTTGATACAATAGGAATCGATCATTCTTCCATGTTATGAACTAACAAAATTCACAAGTGAATAACAAATCTGGGCACGAACGTGGATGCACACAAATGTTGTATCTTTCTAGTTTTCATTTCTTACAGTTAACTATTGTGTGTATTTGGATTTCTAGTTAGCAATGGACTAAAGAGAGAATACTAAAAAAGGAGAACAAGGGAACCCATCCGAACCATCTATCTATTTTAATCTAGCGGTCGTGAATGATAAGGCCGGTTACATTTGCCAAAACTAAATCCATGATCATATGGGGTGGCAAGTGGTTGCATTCAAATATGAGCCATCTATGTTTTAGATCCAACGGTTGATAGGGGTTCCTTTGTTGTCCTACTTTCTAAGGTAACCTCTCGCTTTGCCGTTAACATCAAGATCTTATATTCTTATATGTGTATGTATGTGTGTGTGTATATATATATATATATATGAGAAGTGAAGACCCATAAAATCACTAACCTAAGAAATTTTTTCTGCCAGCCCTGTGTTTCTTGCATCTTGGACCATAAGTTGATCGAAGCAACACCGAGTTCCTTGGCTACCTCCACACATCCATTTGCATAAGTTCCCGTAACTTCATTTGTCCTTTCGGGAAGTTTCATTGCCTTTTCGCCATATAAAGATCTGATAACCACAAAATACTTGTAAAGATTCTCAAACAAATACTAAAACTGAATTTGGTGACCGGAAAATGAAAATGAATTATACGTTGCATATTCTTTGCGCCCTTCTTCGTCAATTGGTGGGGGAGTTATAAGCACAATTAGCATGGTGGGAGAGCATTCCTGTGTTTAATATTTCTTCAAGACCTTAGAAGTTGATTTAATTTAGAAAAACCGAAAAGCAGGTCAAACGGGAAACTGGAAAAACAGTGAAGTAATCCAAAAAATAAACCTTTAAATGACGAACGATTTTTCTCAAATTCTCTTTGTATTCTTCAAGTGGAACATATTGTCGTTCGCTGGTCCTCCCTGCAAGTGCTGCATCATTTGCCCCAAAAAAGATTGTAGCAGCAACAGGCGGGGTGGTAGAACCCTGCAAAAAACACTCAACATGATACAGGGAGGTTTGGCAACAAAATCAACGACCGAAATGACTACAGTCAAACCAATACAATAAGCAAGTGGTCGCCCTGGAATTAGTCGGCTTGCATAGCGAGATGGATATCCAGATTAATCAAAAAAAAAATTATCTTTAGAGTTTTATCTCTAGTTTTAAGAGTTTTCTCTAAATTTTCCGAGTGCTACGCTTGTAGACTCATTACCCTTAAGGGTTTAGAACCTTGTCGACCCTTCCGCAATTTCCCGCTGCATCACGACATCTCATGACGAAATGACAACACTATAACAAATATTCTTTGTTGCAGAAACACAAAAAAAATATTACACGAAACTGATAGGAAAGGATTAATATGTAAAGCTGTAAGTTCTACGGACTTTCGATCTTTGAAATGGAAAGGTTTGCGTTATCCTTGAATTATTTTTGAGCCCGTCTAAGGACATTATCCTCCCTAAAAACTAGTCTACAGAAGTCGGGATGTTGATCCACATCACAATGTGAGTACAGTAAAAGAGAGCTCGAGCTCAGCTTCCTTTTATCCAAAAAATTGCAAGAACCATCCCATAAAAATTGCGAACATTATTCTTTTCTCACAAAATTTCAAACTAAAATCACCTACTTAGTCACTGCTGCCATCACATCTTATTGATGCTTTCTGTTACATTTATGGGAGGATATATTGCATGCCTAACAATCAAACAAAGCTATGCAGTTAGTGACACTAGATGCACAAGACCCGGGCCTTCAAAAACATGCTGGGCAAGGTTTTGGGTGTGAAAATGGGACCGATCACGGGCTTTTTCAGGACGGGTTTTAACCGTACCTAAAACAATACTTGGTATGATCGGGTTTTTTGACTTGGACTTGGCTTTTTTGGCCTGGAATTGTTTTTGTGCATCTCTAACCGACATGTTGCAATTTTCATTGATCGGAGGCCTTGTATGTCATAGCCTTAAACTATCATCAGCAAGATTTATCAAGAAGTTCAAAGTAGGTTCACATCGAGATTTTTATTGCTTCGTTCTTAAAGATATTTGAATTATTGTCATTGCTGAAACTCTTGATTATCCCATGAAATAGATCATTAACTAAACCAACCAAATGTACCCATTACATCTCCGCTAGGATCTGGGGGTAGGAAGGATAGATACGTGTTTCCATAAAGACCCGACTTGCAAGATAGATCATTGATTGAAGATCCGAATAAAAACATAGTTGAATCCTAAACTTCCAGCCTCAAGCATCAAACGTATTCTATATATGAGAGTTGGTTTCCGGTAAAAATAGTATTTATCATGAGAAAGGTAAGAAGAGATCTCCACCATTGGATAAATCCTAAATGAAGATGAATTGAAAATACCTTTTTAAGCTACTTCATGGATTATTTTGGGACTTAATCTGAACCATTAGATTAACACTAATTAAATGTGATCAAGGGTCCAAATCCCTTCTTATAGACATAAATTAACTTGATCCAATAAGATCCAGCCTAAATAGCAATGGTTTCAAACAAATCGCCTCACTAAAATCATCATAAAAGTAAACCATATTCATCTCTCAAATTCAAAGTTAACAACCAGCAAATAGCATTCAAAATTCAGAGCACTAACAATCATCGAGTTCATGATCCCATTTAGAGATCTGTTTGCCAAATTGCATATCCGTACAATCAAAACCTGAATGAAATGTAAGAACACAAGTTGAGTGGATAATAATAATATGAATTACCAGAGGGAAAATGTGATGCAACAAGAACAAGGCCCATCGAGTGTTGTATCCACCATATCCTCGAACCACTATATCGGCCTTTTGATACAGAAAAACAAGAGCAACAGAGTAAGAATCCGCCACATTTGCAACAAATCAAAGAATGTTTTCCGAAAATTACTAGGGTTTTTAGACGTAAAATGAAGAAGGGGAAAGGATTGAACCTTGCGAGAGTAAGTGTCAGTAAGAGAAGCACCCCATCCACCATATCTGAAGGATTGCTCTGTTATTGAATCCCCAAATAATACTATATGAGGTCTCATTTGAATCTATCTACAGACACAGAGAGTCAACGGGCGTTAGAAGATTGATCTGCAGCACCGAAGACACCCGATCAGCTTCCACTTCAACCTCTAGTCTCCGAAAACAACAAAAAGCAAAAACCCATGATCGATCATCCTCAATGGCTTAAATTATACCGTAACGTCCGAGGGGTGTTTTGAATTTGTTTATTTCAAACGATTTATTTTCTCTACAAAAACATTTATCAACTTATTATAAGTTATAAGAGTTTAACTTCTTTAAAAGCTCCTTATTACCGGTTTGTCACCGATATAGGTTATTTATCCAATCATACAAAAGTGTGTTTATACCGGTATCAAACTGAAATAAGTCAATAAATTGTTTTTATAAGCAATCTCAAACAACCCCTAAAAAACAAACCATGAGTTTGGGGGTTATGTTTTAAACTATAACCTTTTAAATGATTTGGTATATGTCTGTTTTAGAATTTGAATGAATAAATGACCAAAGTACCCCTTTTATAACCGTAATGGTTCAAACGGTGATTGCCGACGGTGTTTCAGAACGATGGTGGTCGACACTGGTTTAAATCGGTGGTGTTCTAAGATGGTTCAAATTGGTGTGGTCAGCAGAGTTTCAGGTCGGAGTTTCAAATCGGTGTGTTTGGCGGTGGCTCAAAACAATGGTCGTTAGTCGTCAGTGGTTCAGATGGAGGTCATACGGGTTTGGGTAAATGAAGTAGGGAAGATGGGGAATAGTTTTGTCTTTTTAAGAAATGGGATCGAACGGAATTTAATTCCTTTTCAATTGCGATGGAATGACTAAATCCATAAATGATGGAATGTATGCAATTTCAATTACATTTCATAGATAAACCAAACGCTTGAACGGAAATTGGTTAACGAAATCGATCGTTACAATCCATTTATAATCCGTCAAAATCCTGCAAACCAAACACCCTCTTAAGATCTCAATTTTGTACAAAGAGAAACCAACTAGTTCCGGTATCAATCCCATTGATATCAATCTAATTGGTTGGTAGTACTGTATCAACCATCTAAACTTGGTTAATACATGGTATTAGTAGTCATGTAACATTACTCGTACCGACTTATTCTTCTAGGTCGTTTATTAATTACAGCTTAATCAATAATACAACATATTTTGATTTTTAAAATATTTTATTTCCAGTTTCGCTAAATTATAACATGGGTGGATATACAAAACTTGATTGAATTTATTCGGCTGACCCTAACAATCTTATTAACCAGTCCACACCTCCACGATCCATTGTCGATACAACATACATCAACATGTTATTTTAACGGTCGATGGTTTTAGTGCATCTAGATCCAGTTGGTAAATATGTCACTTTAAATAAATTTGTAACTTCAACTTTTGTAATGTTGATACAAAACCGTACCAACCGAAAAATATTGGTACAATTTAATTGGTAACATGTTGTATCAATGAACAAATCCCAGTCCAGGTCCAAATTAGTCCCAATTTTTTCCCTAAAAAATCAATTTTAAACATATCAAAATATTGTATGATTTTTTTTTTGTATAATATTATTGAATACACTTTAAAATATCTATTTGAATATTTAAATATGTTTTTAATATTTTACATATAAAAATATTATAAATGTTTATGTAATTATGGTTTTTGAATTTAGTATTGAAACACTTTAAAAAACCTTCAAAAAGAACTTAAAAAAACTTGAAGTTTTTGATTAAAAAAACTTGAAAATGTTGTAAATATCAAACTTTATATATAATTTATAAGAACTTATTTTTTTTAAACTTAGGCATATATAATCGACCCTGTCACCATCTCGAACCAGGTTGGGCCTTGAATTTTTGTAAAATACCGTAACCAGTCTCGATCGTAAACCGGTCTTGATACCGATTTCAATCCCAGTCTTCCGTCGGCCCTAACCCATTTTGGCAATCTCTAGTTAAACGATTTCTTGGGTTTTTGGGCAACCCTAACCAGAGAAGGCCAAATGGGCCTAGTCCGGACCCGAGACTAATTGGGACCGAGACCGTTCCGACGGTCCTTAACCGTTACGATTTTTAGGAATTTTCACGGTCTGGGATGGAACCACATAGGCACGATTTTAAAAAAAAAAAATCTTATAAATTATAGATCAAGTTTTTCAACATTTTTACAAGTTTTCCAAGTTTTTTTTTAAGAATTTTTTTTTACGTTTTCCAAGTTTTTTCTTTGGCATTTTTCAAGTTTTGCAAGTATTACGATACCAAATCTCTCACAAATCATAACTATAAAAACATCTAACATTTTTGTATAAAAATATTTAAATGACCAAATTAGGGCTTTTAAAGTGTATTTCATTAAGATATTATCCAAAAAAAGAAAATCTTCAAACACTTTTTTTATGTTCGAAATTGTGTTTTGAAATAAAACAATCGGGACCAGGTTGGAGCTGCCCGAAACCGGGACCGGTTCTCATAATCAATTATGAATAACCTTAACCAGACTTTGGTCTTTGACCGGAATCGGTTACACCAAACCGGTTAAGTAAATAGTGTTTATGACCACGACCAATTTTGACCGCCTCTAGACCCCAACTATTAACGAATCAGGGGCTGTTTGTTTACCTTTTAATAGTTCAATCAAGAGGCAGTATTTGAATCGTTAAAAGATGAATCTTGTTTGACAAAAAAAAATCGGCCTCTTAATGGTTTAAAACCCTCTGATTGATTTTGTATATTGGGCATCCCTTAACCATTCAGCGCCCTAATTTCATTGTATACAATTATATTTCATTTTGTACTATATCATGAAAACCTCTTAATCATTCTGATCACGTAATCATTCTTCACAAAACCATTCGGCAACTGCCAAACAACCCGAGAGATCAGTTGTTGCAAATTCAAAACGGACCCTAACTAGGCCCAGCCCATTTTTTAAAGATCAAAGCCCAATCTTGACAAGCATCGGTGATCATATCGCCGGCGACCGCCATTGACAGACCTCCTTCCTAAAACTCTGGACCATCAGTTAAAGAACAAGAACGCAACACGTTGCACCTACTTTTCCCCTCTATCACCGCCTTTCTACCTCCAGCAAAACTCATCTGTCTTAAACCCTATCAAACAAAATCTCAAATCGCAATTTCGATTTTCAATTCCACTTTCCCATCTTGATTGACCATAGCGTGATCACGAAAATGTTGAGGCACACAAGCAAGCACTTCTTAGGGTTAGGACTAGACGCGATGCGATCCCCGGTGGCCGGCGTTCTACCGAGGTTCTACCATGAGAGAGTGGTGGATCATTACAACAAGCCTCGTAACGTCGGGGCTTTTGATAAGAACGATCCGACCGTCGGAACGGGGTTTTCGGTGCTCCGGCGTGCGGCGATGTTATGAAGCTTCAGATTAAGGTCGATAACGAGACTGGAAAGATCACTGATGCTTGCTTCAAAACTTTCGGCTGTGGTTCTGTTGGTTAGTTTCCTTTCTCATAAACCCTAGATTTTAACACCTCCATGTGTACAGATTATCGGTATTCATTGTCAGGGGTATAAACAAGATCAAATCTCATAATTTTCTAGCTTAACTTAACAAGCTGAGCCTCTTAACACCAATATTCTACGAACTTGGGTCGGGTGGAATAAAAGTTTTGCAAACCAATTCTACCATATAAAACTTGTTCTAGTTTTGGTTTCAAAATACATACGGTGGTACACAACAAATTAATACGGTTGTGTCTTACACGAACCTAAATTTTTTTACCCTTCAACGGATGGAATAATACGGTGGCAAGTGCCACCATGACGACTATACTAGGGGATTTGTTTGACAATTGCTGAGTGGTTTAGTGTAGAATGATTTAGTGGTCATAATGATTAAGCTATAGTACAAAATGAAATATAATTGTTTGGTAATTGTATACAATGAAATTAGGGCTATTAAGGGAGATCCATGATACAAAATCATTCAAAGGGTTTTAGAATCATTAAGAGGCAGACTTTTTTTTGCCAAACAAGACTCACCTCTTAACGATTCAGATGTTGCCTCTTAATGGAACTATTAAGAGGTAAACAAACAACCCCCTAGATCCGTCCCTGTTCGGTCCCTTGTCGAAAATGCTTTTTGGTGTTTTCAGCTACTGAATGGGCTAAGGGAAAGCATATGGAAGAAGTACTCGAGATCAAGAACACGTAAGTGTATTTGTCGTTAAATAGTTTGATTCTTTCAAAGTATAGACGTACATTCCTCGCTCACTTTGCACTAGGGTCTTTCACATAAACAGCCAAGATCAAGCATGTGTAAATCTTACCCCCGGACCCCACCTCCACGTGGAATACTGGGTTTGGTTGGTTTGGCTTTATAGATGTAGATTGCTCACATGCTTTGCACAAGTTGGGTTTTCTTTTTCCGAAATAGCTGCTCTACTCTTTGGAGTTGAAGTTAGGTATCTGTACATCTCACCTCTAAATCCTACCTTCTAGGTGGGATATACTGGGTTTGTTCGGTTTTATAGTTGTACATTGATGCATGTGGTATGTGGATCTCAACCGTTCATTTATAACCACGTTGCAGAGAGATTGCAAATCACCTCTCCCTTCCGCCCGTCAAACTCCATTGTAGTATGCTTGCCGAGGATGCAATCAAGGCTGCAGTGAAAGATTACGAGGCTAAGCGTGGCACTGGTCCATAAGATCTATCTAAACCGTCGTTCTTATACGCGTGTAGGAAACGAAAGGCAGAGGAAGAAGGGACTTGAAATTATACACTCGATGGTTCTAGCATCTGGTTTAAATAACGTTTTTTCAAGTATATAATATTTATATACGATAAATGAACTCACACCCACTTCTCATCTATAGTGATGTTTGAACCCCTGACTTCTAGGAGGCCAAAAGGCCCAGATATCGCGAAGAAGAGCCTTTGATTGGTTTAAATAATGTTGTGAAAACTCCACCTCTGTCCTGCTAGGACAATCGAGGAGGGACTTGTTTAAGTAATGTTATCGTTACTATATATATATATATATATATATATATATACATGAATGATCGTGTGAGAATGAGAGTTATAATAAGAACGGTGAAAACATATATGAGTCTTTTGATGAGTTGACTTTTTAGTCTAACTTTCAATACGTTCAATTACCTCCAACTATTGTCTTTGTTTTTAATTCATTTTCATATATTTAATCAGTTTTATATGCATGAATTTTTGTCAAAATTTCGATCATAATAATAAAAATAAATAAATAAAGATAGTTGAATGTAGATAACGGTATATGAATGTACATGTGTATATAGGGGGGACATTATTTTGGGAACTCTTTAGATCATAATTTAAAATATTTGAGTTCCATGTGTTATTTCATATAATATAATTCCATGTACGGTTAAAATTTAATGTAGTGATTAACATATATTTGTTTCACATATACTGAGTTCACGATATGAATCTTTTTGACATGTTTGTGAAACAAAATATATGCAAAAAAGTTTCAGATTGTGAGTCGAATACATATGAAACAAACACACCACGGAACAAATATATGTTAATTAATACATTAAATAAAAAAAATCATGGGAAACAAAACCTCACGGCGTAAGTTCTCACAAGTTTTGGAGTTCTGTTTTTCTCGTAGAAAGATGAGTTTATAGGAAATAGTTTATGAAAAGTAACACAATTGGGCATTTGGTCTAGTGGTATGATTCTCGCTTTGGGTGCGAGAGGTCCCGAGTTCGATTCTCGGAATGCCCCCTGTCCCCTTTTTATTTTTGTTTTTCCAAGCGTGGGTGAGCTTCTTTACCATATAGCCTCGTAATTTGTACCTCTTAGAGTTGGTTTTCGGATCTGTTCGTATGTAGGGTTGTAAACGAACCGAACGTTCAACGAATTGTTCGTGAACTATTCGGCCGTAAGTTCGTTTATTTAATAAATGAACGGACATTCACAAAAAATTTTATTCATTTAGTTGAACAAACGAACATGAACAAGTGTCTCATTCGTTCGTTTATATGTTAATTTTAATGTATAACTTTTATTTATTTATTTGAATTCAAATTTTAAAAAGCTTTTTAAGTATTGGTTGATTAATGGTGATTGTTTTGTATATGTTTAAACTATGGATAATTGGTGAGTAATAGTTAACTGAATGACAAGTATTGGTGTTCGTTTAGTCTTATTCGTTTATGTCCGTTCATTTACATTCGTTTAGCATGTTAAAGACCGAACATAAAAGAACACGAACACACCTGATTTCTAAATAAACGAACAAGCCTCTGTTCGTGTTTGTTCGGTTCGTTTACAACCCTATCCGTATGGATGGAAACGGGTAGAGTAATTTACTGGAAATGCATCTCAGGACCCCACCCGACGGTTTTTTTGTTCGTTTAGCTAAACGAATGAATAGGGACAATGGTCTCGTTCGTTAATTTATGTTCATTACCATTCGATCATTTATGTTCGTTTACGTTGATTTATATTTGTTTAAGTTCGTTTACGGTTGTTTATGTATAAAATATAAATAATATTAACATATTATGATATTAACATTTAAAAAATCATTAATTAAATTGAATTGTTATATTTTTTTTTTTTCAGTTTGTTATGTTATTTTTAGGAACAAAATGATTAGTAATGGTGGTTGTCTTTTGTTCTTTTGTATTCGGTCGTTAATGTTCGATTATCTTCATTAATATTTATTCGTTTAGTATCTTAATGAACGAACATAAACAAATATGACCAAACACATTTTTTTAACAAACGAACATGAACACAAACTTTTTTGGTTTGGTTACGTTTCGTTTGTTCGGCTAAGTTAAACGAACGAACATGAGCAAACCTTCATTCGCGTTCTTTCGGTTCGTTTACAAACTTTAAAAAAAATTAAATAGTTTTTTTAAAATTTTTAAAAGAAATAAATAAACCTCAAGTTCAAAAAACACATGAGTATACCTAGCCACGTGTAATTATAGTTCATGACAAATTTAAAGTATAAATTATTAAGAAACAAGAAAGAAAGTAATTAAATTATATATATATATATATATATATATATGGTATTATCAGGGGAAGATAATATTAGGGACGGACCTATAGTGGCACATACGGTGGCACGTGCCACCGTATTATTCTTTCGTCGAAGGGTAAAAAAAATTTGGTTTGTGAAAAGTATAACCGTATTAATTGTTGTGTCCCACCGTATATATTCGGAAAGTACAATAAAAAAAATCTTATTTGGTAGAGTTGGTTTGCAAGACTCTTATTCCATCTCAGACCAAAGTTCGAATCTTGTTGGTATCATTTTCTTAGTTAAATGGTGCCATCATTTGGAGACAAAAAAATCGGTATATTTGTTTCTTATAGTCAAATGGTGTTACCGTTTGAATTTTTTTTTCTCTATGTTTTTTATAGTCAAATGGTGCAATCGTTTGAAAAACTTTCTGGGTTCGTCCTTGGATGTATACTCATTAATCATGCGATTTTCTTTCTAAATCATAGGTTGATCATAATTGAAAACAATACAAAACTGTAAAAGTAGAGGGATAGAATAACTGAAGAATACAATGAAGAACAAAACATGATTAAAGGTCCAAACATGGACCTGAAAAAGCCAAGTATGAAGTGCAAGACGATGTCATTCATCATTCTTTCAACAACTTGCAATCCAAATTCAAGAAAGATATATTTATGTCTGTCACCCAATTTAATTTCAGTTTTGTTTTGTAAGATTATGGTTCAGTGTGTATATGAACTTTAACACGTAATTTATATATTTGGAAAAATGCTTTTCATAACCGTAACACCATTTTTTTCCCACCAATTCTTGCAGTCTACGTGAGATGGAACCGACTTTGTGTTTTATTTTGCATAAACATGTTTATATTTTACATATTTGTTTATACTTATCTGAATATTACATTTCAATACATTGCGCGGGTATACAACTAATATGATATAATGAACTCATTCCACCACAAGGCTGGATTTCTATTTCAAATTAAACTGAGAAAAATTAAAATATAAGTTTTCATTTTCTTTCCAACCAAATAATTCTTCACCCACAAAGAGTTTGAGATTAGAAAAATAGAACTTTAAACGTCTAACATTCCAATTAAAATCATATATCTATATTATATTATAAAGTATTTGATAAAAACTTTTAAAAACTATTTTTTATGTATTAAGTACTGTTAATTAATGCATAATACTTAAAATTTATGATTTCAAGTAAACTGTATGTAAGTACAACTTATGAAAACTCTATTTTTGAATTCGTATAATAACTGTAGATAAATATAATCAAATACATGAAAAACATCTCATTTTAAATAAAAAAATCTAAAATATAATTAAGATAATTATTGAGTTCTAACATAAACATTATCTTTATATAAATAATATTGTTAATCCAAAAATAAATTACTTCCCTATTAAACTCAAACTAAACTGTAATAAAAAATAAAATAAAATAAATTGTAAAAAAAAGAGAACTTTTAGATAGTTAATTTGATATTAATATCAATATACTTTTTCTATTTTTTTATAATATCTTCAAATTTAATTTTATTCAAAAATAAAAACATTATATTTTTCAAAATCATATAAACTGTATTATATCAACATAGACAAAATAAAACGAAACATTAAAATGAAGATGCGTCTCGTTGTATTGCACAAGTACCCTTCTAGTACTATATTAGAAAAATTTGACAAAAACTCTTAAAAACCATTTTTTATGCATAAAATACCGTTTATTGATACATATTACTTGAAATTCAAAATCACAAGTAATTTTGAGTAAATACAACTTATTAAAACTCCATTTTTAAAATTTGTGCAACTAATTGCAAATAAACATAATCAAATAGAAGACAAACATTAATTCTAAATTTTAAAAATATAAAATATAATTAAGATAATCATTGAGTTATAAGATAATGTTCAATTATAATCTTTAACAAAAATTATATTATTAAACCAAAAATAAATTATAATAAAAGATTGAATTAAAGAAATTACACCAAAAAAACGAGAACAATTAAATAATTAATTTGATATTAATATCGATTTATTTATTTTTTAAATTTTTATGCTATTTTCAAATTTATAATTCATTCAAAAATAAAAACATTACCGCTTTCTCAAAACCACATAAAATCGTATTATATCAATAGATACGAAATAAAAACTAAACACTAAAATGAAAATTTATCTCGCTGAATTACACAAATACCCTTCTAGTATATAATAATATCATTACTGTACTAATGGTTTGTAGCGGACGATCCATACTAGTTCATCAACCCGGCCCATGAAGATCCGAACCCCATTAGATACCCGGACGCCCCATTTCTCCCTTCACCTGAACCATTAAGATCCGAATCACAACCCGAACCCGCTTGATCTTGCCACCCCAACGTGAAAACCCTACTTGGCTTCATATCAGTTCCATTCATCATGCTCTCATAATACTCATGATCATACTCATCATACGATATCGTTTCCGGATTCGACCCATGGGTATTACCCATATCCGCTCCATACCCACCAGCCACCACCATCGCCGGAAAATCATCAACAATCTGATCATCATACTCCCCACCACCACAACCACCACCACTCTCCAAGAAATCAATGGCGGCAGGGGAACCATTAGTAAGATTCTCAAACATGAAATGAGGGTCCACGGAGAACTCCACCGGTGAGTGGAGATCCATGAAGTTCGAGCTCATCCCACTTGGTTGCGGTTGGCGGTGGTGGGTGGTGGTGTTGTGATTGTTGGTGGTGGTCGGTTTCTTGAAAGTGGAAGAGATTTTCTTGTTTTTCCGGCAGAGTCCGCCGACGGGGATATTACGGAGGGTGCCACCTTTGGTCCAGTAGCGTCTACAGGATTTGCAAAAGTAACGAGGCTGAGAAAGAGAGTAGTTGTTGTAGTAACAGAACTTGGTGTGGGTGGAGTCACATCGAGGGCAGTGTGTCGAGCCATGGTCCATGTGGTGTGGTCCGTGGTTCATGACCTTTGAAGATGGGACCATGGTGTCAGTTGGTTTGGTTGAGTCTATGGGATATTGAAGGGAGGTTGAACCCATTAATGGAGGTTTTGCATGGTGGAAGAGAGAGTGTGTGTGTGTGTGTGTTTTTTACGGTTGAGATTTGAAGGAAGGTTGTGAGTAATATTATAAGAACGGAAGAAAAGTGAAGGGTGGTGGGATCAGCTGCTGCTGCTGCCGTCGGTGACACAAACCAATATCGGGACCCAATGGTGATGTATTTTTATAATTTCATTCCACCAGGTTCTAAATTAATGGTGTGATCGGTACGATGTGAATTGATATGTGAAGTTTTAAATGTAAAAATATGGTTTTATGGGTCTTACGAAAATACGTTCGTCTCATGTGAACCCGACATTATATATATATATATATATATACACACACAGAAACGAAGGATCGTGTAAGAAAAATAGTTAAGTTGAGAAGGTAAAAAGAAATTTAGACCCTTGATTACTTTTAATCTCACCCCATCCATGAATTATTTGCTCTCACGAGAAATGATCAAATGCAATTTGTATACATCTCAAGCATGGAGTGCATACAAGGGTGAAACTCGATCATGTATATACATAATGTGTGTCAGGTCCGTATAAGAATAACTAGAAGGGTACTTGTGCAATGAAGCGAGATACAACATCATTTTAATGTTTTGTTTTATTTTGTGTCTCTGTTGATGTAATACGGTTTATTTGGTTTTGAGAAAGTTAATGCTTTTACTTTTGAATAAAAATAAATTTGAAGATATCATAAAATTTTGAAAAAATATATCGATATTAATATCAAATTAACTATTTAAAAGTTCTAATTTTTTGTATAATTTCTTTAATTCATTTTTGTATTATAATTTAATTTAGGTCGTTTAGCGAAATAATTTATTTTTAACTTAACAATATAATTTTTACAAAGATAATGATTTTGTTACAACTCAATAGTTAGCTTAATTATATTTTAGATTTTTTATATTTAAAATTGATGTTTATCATGTATTTGATTATTTGTATATGCAATTAATTATACATATTAAAAAATGAAGCTTTAATAAGTTGTATTATGTTTATCTGTAACTAGTTATACATATACAATACTTCATGCATAAAGAATGTTTTAAGAGTTTTTTTCAAATGTTTCATGATATATTATAGATAACTAAATAAAAGAATAAGAAAACGGTTGAATTGAGCGTGATTTTATTACATGTGATTTTACACTAAAATGACATGTAAAATCACATGATTCACGGGACTTTGGTCGCAACCTCAATTCGCGGGTTATGTCGCCCGCACACCTTTATGTTTACCATTAGTGTAAAATCATATGTGATTTTGCACGTGATTCATGTTCTTTTATTTAGTTATTGTTTTCATTTAAGTACTCGGGTAACTGGTTGAAGCATTAACCGGGTAACATGCTGATGTGACGAGTGATGCGGTATCCAACTCAGTATTATTTGCTAACATGAATATCTTAATCTAAAATTAGTTTTTATGTATCATGGTTTATTAGAAGAACGAGTTAATGCTTCAATCGGTCAGTTACCCGAGTACTTAATCATTTAAAACTTTACATCTTATGTACCAAAATAGAAGTTTTGAAAGTACGTTACCTAAAATATGAATCAAGTTAAAATACGTTACTTTTTCATTTAATTTGTCCATTCGAAAACACAACGTTAGTAGGGACCCTTTATCCAGGATAAACGCTTATCGTTTAATATTTAACATTATCACTTACTTCATCAAGTAAGAATTTAGTTTACCAAAACGACGTCATATATATTTAACAATTTATCAGATGAGACCCTCGATTCTTACCATTGTTTTTACCTGATAAAAATGTTTTTTTTTTTCATATTAATCTATAAGCGTTTGAATATTTGGTAAATGAGTCTTCTTTTGAACCGGAAAACCGGGAGTTATTATTGAAATTGAACCGGTTGGTTGTTGATTTGTCTAATCAGATATTACACGTTGGGTGCACTCGAGTGGTGAACACGTTTTACATATTCGATGAGAACCGACAGTGGGCGTGGGCCGGAATTCAGTGAAAAACCAAAACTTAACTCGGCTTTACAAGCAAGGTATATATTCTCCCCTGATGACGTGTCTCATTACTTGATGCCCACCTACGTCGTCTCTCTTTTCGAATCTTGGTCTTCCCAATCCATGTTAATTATGTTTTTTATTTATTTTTATTTTTATTTTCATTTATTTATGAAAAAAAATGTAAAGGTGATTACATGCCTTCTGAGCATTTTCTCAAATCGCACTTCATAAACCTTAAACCGTAAAAACTTGTATTGTAAAATATGGTACGGTTTATATAGTTTGTATATGTCGTATTTTATGTATGCAAAATAATTATAACCTTCGTAGCAAAAACATCAAATATTCACTTGATATTCACATGAAACACACAATGAATATGAATGAAAAACACCCTAAATTTTCACATTGTGTCTACAAATACCAGTTTTATTGGAACCCAACACTGTATATATACATATATATACATATATATATATATATATATATATAGGGGAGGGTTCAGACAAAACATCTTCATTTTACGAGAATGCGAGAATATATTTTTACTATAGATAATCACATATGATACACATGTGATACTAAATCAAAGACGTGGACGATTTTTGACGCGATCTTGGTTGTGGGCTAAGTCGTTCTTACACCACTAAGCCCCATCACAAATATTATCACATGTAATAAGGGTGTTGTTGATATGATATTTTAATTCATCAAGACCATCACATGTGATGTTAAATCATAGACGGAGACAACCTTTTGCACGACCTAAATAGAACACATCGTCCGCACGTCACAAGTCCCTCATGCATATTATCACATGTGATAAGGGTGTTATCACATTCTTACCTCCACCTATATATGTATATATATGTGTGTGTATGTGTGTATGTATGCATATACGTATAGGAGAGAAAGAAAATGGGAAAATTTGGTGGAGAATGTCCAAATGAATTGAATGCGCATGGGTGACAAAAACTGAAAGCAATGACAATGGAATCAGAATTGAAAACAAAAACGTCAACATTCGGTCACAGTGAATAGTGAATGGGAAATGGGCGGTGGATAGAATCTCATCGGCACCGATCATCCACCTGCCGTTTTGCCCTAATTTCAACCGTCTTGTCCTAATTCACGATCCAGTGGGCTTGCGTGGGTCCTTTGCGGCTTGAAACAAGCCGACCATTAACCCCCTTCGTATTTGTCGTATTTCAATTTCGACCATCGCCATCGTTGCTGATTTGAAAATGGCGAGTCGTGTTCATACCTAGATGGAAACGGCAGCCATGGATTGGAGGACTGTTTTTGATCTATCGTCAATAACATGAATGCAAATTATGATTTCCTCAACTAGTAATTTGATGAGGCGGAAAATAAAATAAAATGAACGATTTAGATAGGGTTGTATTGGTTGTACAAATATATAATATGTTGTATTTTAAACGTACTCTATTTATATATACGGGGTTAGGTTGCGGTAAGAATGAGAGTTATGATAAGAAAGATCTCCAACTTTGGATCAATATTAGGGGCCGTTTACTAAACGCTTACTCGGGCAAGTGCTTACCAAGTCACATTACCTTACCGGATGAATATGGTAAGAACCAAAAAAATTACCTGGTAGGAGTGAAACAAAGACCAAAAGTCTTACCCGGTAAGTGAAGGTGACGACTCTTAACACGATAAACGTTTACTAGGTAAATTGTTGCATATAATGTCGTTTTGGTAGACTAAAGTCTTACCCGGTAAGTAATTGGTAGTATTAAACTTTACTCATAAGTGTTTTATGGGTAAGAATTTGGTAAATGGTCCCTTAGTTAAAGATCAATACTAATGTGAGGTACCAGATCAATTCATGTGATAAGTGCAATTCATGGGTGGGATGAAAGGTTCTAGATCTCTTCTTATGCTTCTCGCTTTAACTTTTAGTTATACACGGTTATTCGTCTTTACGTATATATGGTTGGGTTGTGGTGAGAATGAAAATTGTGATAAGAAGTGATATTTACCTTTGGATCAATCATAATTGAATATTGACACTGATGCGGTGCACGAAAATGCACTGGATCAATTCCCATGATAAAGGGTGGGGTGAGATTAAAAGTGATCAATGTTTTAGATATTTTCTTATGCTTTTCACTTTAACTTTTATTCTCACACGATCATTTGTCTATATGTATATGTATATATACACATAAACACAGAGATTGATGGGCGAGGGGAAAGTTACATTAAGAATCTAAAATTAATTAGGAACTCATTAACCGTTCATAACGTGTCACATATTACTTTGAATGAATATTCATCACAAATAACATATTCATAATGTAAATAAAAATGTTATTCATCATGAATCGCACATTAATGGTGAATATGGACGTATTATTCCTTATGAATCACACATAGATGATTAATAACACCTTCATACTCCGGATAAAAATGCTTCGTGTTGCGCTGTAAGCAGATCCCGGGTTTGTACCAAATTTTAGGGAACCTACCAATGTAGTGTATGTATATATGTGTATATATAATTAAATACGCGCACTTTAAGGTTCGAGGTTATTAAGATGCTTGATTCATTATTGTGTTTCATCGTTAGAGGTTATTTACCAGACACTTGCGTGGTAACTGGTAAGTATTTACCAGGCTATCATTAGTGACGAGAGTCTTACCCGGTAAGTAAGAGTGATGACTTTTAATGTTAAGCGCTTACCAAGTCACTATTAGGAATGAGAGTCTTACTCAATAAGCGAATATGACGACCCGTACTAATAAGTGCTTATCAAGTAAGATTGCTACATATAATGACATTTTGTTATATTAATAAATAATTCAAAAAACTCTAATTAATTTAATATATTTATACGTCAAGTAAAAGTTTTTGAACAAATATAATATATTCATTAAAAGATAATATTTTTTTTGGTAAAAAAGGAACAATTCTTATTTTTTTTTTTTCAAAAAACACATGTTTTTTTAAAAGTATTTGCTAGATAAAGTCTTCTATTA